AGACTAAATTTATCTTAATTATTTAATAATCAAAAATTAGTAAAACGATTTTGGTTAGACAAAAATTTTCTGAATTTTTTAATTTATAAATTAATAGTAAACGGCTGCTTTAGTTAAGAGTAAATTTAACTAAATTTTTCAATAATTTATTAATAAGTAGTTAAACACGATTTTAATCAGACTGAATTCGGCAATAATTAAAAATTAGTAGTAAAAGACAATATTAGTCAGAATGAACTTTTTTGATTTTTTAAAATAAAGGAATTAGTAGTAAAAAAAAGACTATTTGAGTCAGACTAAACTTTTCTAAATATTTTAATGAGAAATCAGTAGTAAAAAAAGGCTTTAGTCAGACAGAACTTTTACCTAATTCACTGAATTCAGAAATACAGTAATGAAAGACCGTTTTAGTCAGACAGAAATTTTCTCAACTCTATAATTTAGTAATAAGTAGTCAAAGCCGGTTTTAGTCGGATCGTTTTAGACAAAGCGTTATTCTAAATTTCTTAATATAATATATAAAAATAACAGTATTTAAATTAAAATTAAAAATAATTTAATAATAATATCAAACACGAAATTTAAAATTAAAGAGGTTAATTATATTTTCTTAAAAAAATTTATAAATCTTGTCACATTTATATAATACTAAAATATGAGATTAAAATATTAAAATATATTCGTGTTTTATCTTATATCATTTGCTTTATGAATCTACTGTACACCATATATAAAGCATGGGGAGTGAATATATAGCTTCGAGAATTATTATCATTCAACTGAGACGTGAGCTTTGTATGATATAACTTATCCATGTGATAAGTGGGTTCTGTTACAATTATATACAAAGGATCTGTTGACGAATCCTCTGCAGGCGATGCAGTTTTGTTACATATATATAGTAAAAAAAAGAGAGAGAGAGAAAGAGAGAGATATATAATGGACCAAGATATAAATATTTTAGAATGCGGGTGTTTTTTAAACAAAAAAAAAAAATTTTCCCTCATTTTTCCCCTATGAAGAAATATGTTTATCACTTCAAATCAAATATAACTTTCGCGCAGAGACACTTCCCGGAGTGTTGTGATAAGAAAAAAAGTTTTTCTGATAAAAAAAAAAAAAATACAAAAACAAAAAAAAAATAATAATTAGAAATTGTTTCGATTTCTACATTGCAAATTATTAATTTAACAATTGGGGATTTATTGTCGATAAAAATTTAATTACTAAATAAAGAAAAATTTTTTTTTTAATATTTTGTAACTAACCGAAAAATTGTATTAATACAAAAAAAATAGTACATTTATTTCAAACAAAATTTTTCTCCAATTTGTGAAAATTATCTTCATGTTGAATTAAAATATATAAAATATTTGCTAAACTATTCTCAACAAATCGAATTAAATGTGGTTTTGTGTTTCACTATATTGTATATATATGTTAAAGCCAAGTACTTTTTTTGTAGTAAAATTTCCATTATCGTCAAGACTATTGTGTATATCGTAAAATCCCTCACAGATCCTCAAGGATAACTCTATTTTATCGCATTTCGAAAAACGAGTTCTTAGCTGTACCTATACATTTTTCCAATATTCTCTACGGAATTTTGAGAAATAAATGTTAGAAAAGAAAATTATAATTATTCTCAAAAAAAAAAAAATTGTATTAATTTTTAATAAATTAAAATTATTTTTTCTCAGAAAGACATTGCGTTAATAGTTTTTCTCATGATTAAATCAATTTTCAATTGTTGAAAAGAAAATTAAATTATTCACAATTATAGTAGGACTTAATAGACGATGAAATTTACATTTCTCATTCTTGTAAATTGAAACTAATAATAAATTAGTTTTTTCACACTGAAAAAAGATTTGTATGAACAATGTAAAAAAAAAAAAAAAAAAGTGGGAGGAGAAAAAAAGAGGCAAAAGTGATTTGCAACTCTTGATAAAATAAGAGACGTACTTTGATAATTATCTTATAGCATGCAAAACTTGACACGATGAATCATTCACAATTAATCCGATTATGCATATAAAATGTAACAAATGGCTACTTACTAGATGATGGATTAATCTTGTAAATTATGACCCTAAAATGAATCCATTCCTCATGCCACTTCTTTTTTTCTCTCTCTTTCTTATATATATTTTTTACACTTTTATTTCAGTTTATTATAATGTCGCATTTCATTTAAAGGGACATTAATTTTTTTTATTAAATTTAATTGATATAATATTTACTCGAGATCTTTTTTTTAAATATATAATATATTTCAATAATAATAATAATAATAATAATAATAATAATAATAATAAAATAAATTATAAATAAATATAAAAAATAATAATAATAAAGTAAATAAAAACCCACAGGAAAATTCTCGAGTTATTAATTTTCTGACAAGAAAAATTTCCAATTGAATATATAATAAGCTCAAAAGTTTAATATCTAAGAAGATTAAATTATTATATATTATCATCGCAAGCGCTGTTTTATCAAATCGGCTTAAGGAAATTTTAATATATTTTTTTGTCTCTCCTCCCACAATATAAAAACGTTTTCAAATAGAAAAAAAAAAACTTTTTTTTTTAACACATAAATATTAAAAGTTTGTCAAAAACAGAGGAAAAAGAAAATTCCAATCGTTATATAAAAATATCCCACGCGAATGTCAATACGTTTTTTTTTTCATCCCACGATGAAAATAATTATATTCATTTTTATTGTATATTTTTTAAAAATTAAATTGAAATTTTTCACGAGCAATGGGCAAAAAAAAAGAAAAATTATGTGCTATAAAATGTTGAAGCTATGATGTTGAGATGAGAATATAAACGTTAATCTTTGTAAACACGGCGCATCTACGAAAAAAAATACATATATATATATATATATATATATATATATATATATATATATATATATATATATATATATATATATATATATATATATATATAGAAAATAGTAGAAATATATAAATCTCTGGAGAATTGCCAAGAAATTGAATTCGTTGAACCAATCTTATTCGATAATATAGAGCAATAAATTTTCGGATCCATTGCACGTTCTTATAACACGCATTGTGTTGAATTTTTTATCTTTTTCAAACGCGAGATATTGTGGATGTACAAAAAGTGACAAAAAGATATCATGTTTCTTCTATATATAAATAAAAAAAGAAACATTAAATTCAATTTAAGAGTTTTATCTTCTCTTTTATTTCAATTTGAAAAATAATATTTCTTCATTTCCACTTTTTTTTAAAAAAAAATAAAAAATTTTTAAAAAAAATAGATTTCTAAAAGTGTATTTTTTTTTAAATTATATTATAATTAATTAAAATTAATTACTTTTGTTAATTCAAATTATTAATGTTTAGAAATTATCCACTAAATTATTATAATAAGTTAAATTTTTTTTATATATTTTATAAATATTTATATATAAATAATAATTTATAAATTTTTAATTTTCTTATAAATAATAATTATTTTATTTTTAATTTTTTTTACTATTGTTGTATTATTCTATATTGTTTATAAATAGTTTTTAATTTTTATATACAGTTAAAAATAATATATAATCTCAATTTAGAGGGTAGGGCAATTAATTCGCTGAAAATTTACACATAGCAAAAACAGATACCAGAGAATGGTTTAATATTGTCTTTGGGTTATTATACATATATATCTTATACATTACGGATCCATGAACGTGCTCAGAGCAACTGCAAAGAAGATGAACGCTAATTGTCTTGCTTCGTTAAGCGAGAAATTGAAACCTTCTCGATTTTCTGCATTCATCTTCTAATATACATATATATATATATACATTTTCTTTACACTAAATGTTTCTAATCTTATATGCAACTGTAAAAGTTGTTAAGACTAAATTTAAATGTCTTCAAAATGACTAGAGACACATGAATATATATATATTCTCGAAAACTCATTAAGAGACTTTGCAAATTTCCACTACATCAAATTTGTATAAGGCCAAACTTATATTTAGCCAAATTGCATATATATAAATATATACTTAAATTATCGAAAATTAAATTAACATTAAGTATATATAATAAATAATCGAAAATTAAATTAACATTAAGTATATAATAAATAAACGAAAATTAAATTTAATATTAAAATGAATTTTTAAATGAGGTTTTATTTAATTAAAATTCTTCTAATTTTGAAATTGGTAGAAAAAGTCGATTTTTGTCAACACATAAAAAATAATATAAATTAAGTTACAAAAAAAATTACACATAGGCGATAGTTTTTCTATAAGTAGTAAAAGTGAGTTTCAGTCAGACAACAAAAATTTAGTTTTAATAATCAGTAGTAAAAGTCATTTTTAGATCTGAATTTTTAATAATCTGAAAATCAGTAGTAAAAGATGATTTTAGTCAGACTGAATGTTTCCTATTCTTTTAAATAAGAAATCAGTAGTTAAAGACGATTTTAGTCAGACTGGGTCTATATAAATTATTTAGTAATTTAATAATAAGTAGTAAGAGGTGATTTTAGTCAGACTTAATTTTCTAATTTAGAAATCAGTAGTGAATAACGATTTTAGTCAGACTGTGCAAATTCTCTAATAATTTAGTAATAAGTAGTAAAATACAACTTTAGTCAGACTAATCTTATCTAAATTTTTTAATAATTGAAAATCAATATAGTGAAAGCCTTTTTTAGTGAGACGGAAATTTTCTAAAAAAAATCTCTTATAATTTAGTAATAAGTATAATTAAAAACAATTTTAGTCAGACATAATTAAATTTTTATCAAATGAATGATAATCATCATTATATACAATACAATCAAAATGTTGTTAAAACGATTATCTAAATTGCAGAATTATTATCAGCAATTAGTAGATAGCAAATGAATTTGTATATGTACGCAATATTGAAATTATTATTATTATTATTATCATTATTATTATTATTATTATTATTATTATTATTATTATTATTATTATTATAATTTCAGGTCGTGAAAATGATGATTGTCGTGGTTGTCATCTTTGCGGTATGTTGGTTACCATTTCACATGTACTTTATAATAACGTCATATCTTCCGGAAATCACGACCGGTCCATACGTTCAAGAGATCTATCTAGCTATATATTGGTTGGCCATGTCTAATAGCATGTACAATCCTATAATTTATTGTTGGATGAATTCCAGGTGAGTTATCAAAAAAATTTTTTTTTTCAAATTGTATAATTTTTGAACAAAAAAAATCTAAACCATTCAATTTTTTTTGGAAATTATTTTCTCGTTTTTTATTCAAAAAAAAAAACAATATTTTGCAGGAAATTTTTTTTTTTTTAATAATTGCAAAAAGTAAATTATTTTCCGTAAATTAGATTTTCAATAATAATTATTTTCTTTGATTATTATTAAATTTCTTTTTCATAATATTTTCTTCTCTTTATAACTGTAAATAAGGTGAAAAAGAGAAAAATAAATATTCCTTATAAGAAAAACCTATTCTCTGACAGGATATTTAAGTTTATATATTTATTATATTTTTTTCTCTATTTCTAGTTTTATTAAAAGATTTCAACTCTTATATATATTTTTCTTTTTTTCCCTCTTGAGAAAACATCTTTGTATATATATATATATATATATATATATATATAGTTTTTATCGAAAAATCTCGAGTTCAACATAATAAAATCTCGATTTTTATATTTATCTATATTTTAAATTTAAAATATATTTTTAGTAGAAAAACAATTGGAAGAAAAATTAAAAAAACAAAAAAATCTCTAACCTTAGGCTGCAACGATTTTTTGGATGCTGATAAAATCTTGAGGGAAATACACAAACACACGCGATTTAAAGAAATTACGAACACTTTCGAAACGTTTTTAAATTTTAAGAAACTTTTTTTAAAAAATAAAATTTAAACGATCGCGAGTTTAAGAAATTTCAAACACTCGCGGAACAAAAAATAAGTTTACTATAAAAAAAAACAAAAGGAAAAAAAAAATTAAACTGCAAAATTTTTTTGTTCGCTAAAAAAATTTTTTTATAAAATTTACACTCCCGTTGACCATGTCTAAACAGGTCAATACACGAATTGCAACTGATTGAAATTATCCTTGAAATTTTTCAATTACATTATTTATGACCTTCGAATATTTGTACTTTAATGTAAACACTTACAGGTCGAGATGCAGGTATAAAGATCTGATACATAATAAAATTCCAAAATTTCTTTGACACAATTTAAAATAGTTTAAAATTTAAATTATTAAATTAAATTATTATTATTTATTATTATTAAAAATTATTATTTATTGCGAAAATTATTAATTATTACGAAAATTATTATTTATTACTAAAAAATTATTATTTACTATAATAATAATAATATATAATAATTTACTATAATTATTATTAAAAATTATTATATTTAATAATTTTCTGTTTACATCCCCTTTTTGTATAGTAATCAACAACCATAATAATTGATGGTAAATTATTATATTTAGTATAATTTATCATAAATTATTCTAAATATAATAATTTATCATAAATTATACTAAATATAATAATTTATCATAAATTAAACTAAATATAATAATTTATTATAAATTATTATTAAATTAATTCTATACGATGGGAAAAATTCATTACAATACTAAATTATTCTACTTCATAAAATTCAGCAAAATAAAAATTGGTACAAATTTTGTTTTTTTAAATTAAAAACAAAAAAAATTTTTTTAAAAAATAATTTTCCATATAAAAATTAATTTTTATAATATTAAAAAAAATAGGATAATAATAAATTTTTTTTTTATTACAGATTTCGTCGAGGATTTGCGCAATTCTTCTCATGGTGTCCATGGGTGCACGTCACCCCGGAACCAACATTATCACGATCGGAAGCTGTGACATCGCGTTATGGCTGCGTTGTAAGTCCGGATTCACAACTAAGGATCTCACGGAACGGTACGTCCTGTTCGTCCTTGGATCGTTCTTGCACATCAACATCCTCAATTCACAGGAGTGTATCATACCTCGAGCTTGACGTTCTGCTCGAAGAAAATCGGCAAAATGAACAAAGTGAAAATTGTAACACTCGACTCGACCTTATAATACCGACGAGTACCTTTGACATACCCGAATCATCTACTACTACTACTACCACTACTGCACTTGAACCATGAAACGTATTTATCACATTTTTTTTGTTTTTAGTTCTTCTTCATCTTTTCTTTTTTTTTCTTTAACTTTCTTTTTTTTTCCTTTCCTTTTTATCATCCATATTCAATTTTTTTTCATTCGCAAAAACAAAACACTGTAAAAATGGTATATTTTTTAAGAAATATTTATCTCACAACGAGTATTTATAGAGGAAATTGGAGCAGCTTTCATTTCCTTCAATTTACTCTTTCTCTCTTTCTCTCTCTCTCTCTCTCTCTCTTTACACTGTTCTCGAAAACAATTTATTATTCACCTTCACGATGAAATAAAACCTCTGTGAATGACAATTTTTTTTTTCTTTTTTTTTTATTAGCACGATTATTATTTAATTGACAATTATTTTTTCTTAATATCATCTGAAGGTTCTTTTTAGATACAATTTTCTTTTTTATTTAATAAAACTACAAATTCCAAACTTTTTAAGAAAATTAAATTTCGATTAAATTTTTCTTAATATTTTTTGAAAATATGAAATTAAAAAAATCTTACATTTTTTTTTTTAAGGTAATGTACGAATTCCTCGATCTCGTGACAGAAGATGGAGAAACGCTCATCATCCAGGACATGTTTCTTGACAATTAGAGAATTCATCGCAGCAACAACGAGTTCACACCTGGATATAATTAAAAAAGGAAAAACAAATTACTAGCCATAATATCTTTTCACGCTGATGAAAATTTAAAATTCAATAAATAATCAGCTAAATTTTTACATATATAAAACTAGGGTAAAAAAGATAGGAATAAATTTGCGAAAGTCTATAAATATAAACAACATGCAATAATTAATCATTGCTTTGTAGACATTTTTTTCTAATTAGATCAGAAAAAAAAAATTTAGAAAACAAAAAATTATTATTACAAAAAAAAATATATATAATTCTTGTTAATTATTTCACTATAATAGAAATAAATAGAAATTATTTTAATTATTCAAAAAATTGTTATATAAATTTTTTTTACAAAATTTAATTATTTATTTTCTGTTGACAAGTTATTCTTTCGTTTGTTTGCAAAAATTTTTCACTTTATGGAGAAAAAAAGTTATTGATACTTTCTTACACTTCTTATGAAATTAATATATAATAATACAAAAATCGCTTGGAATTAGATTTTGGATCTTTTGCGAAAAAAAAACTCACTCTAATAATATGTAAAATTATTTCAATTAAATTCAAGAGTGTAAAAAAACAGTTTATCGTTTAAAATAAATAAATAAATATATATATATATATAAATAATATTTCTATGTAAAATTGCAAAAACTTGTAATTTTTTTCATCGGCTGAGCCGTCTGTTGTACTAGATAAATATTTAATAAGAAACGAATTTAAAATATTTATACAATTATCTTATTTCAACAAACAAACAAATTTTCGAACGAAACTTTCATACAGCGTCACTTATAAAGTTATATAAATATTTATTTACTGTAAAAAAAAAAAGAGAAAAAAAATTTGAATATTCATTAAAACTATTTAATTAAAAAATTGCTTTTTATGTTTTTATTTATTATTAAGATTAAAAATAGCGTGCCTTTAATTAAAAATAGCAAATTTATTTTAATAAGTGTATAAACAATTCAATATTTTTTTGTGATTGAATTTTATTGATTAAATTTTATCAATATTAAAATTAATATTTATATGTAGTGTTATTAAATATTTTGATATTTAAATTTTTTAACACTGTTATTTAATTTTTTTCATTTTATAATTTATTTATATTTACATTTTCTTTTGTTTTTCAATTTTTATTTGCATTATATTTAATATTTATGTTTGCGTAATGTTTATAAATATGAAAAGTTTGAATAATATTTTTTGCAATTGAATCGAGTTATACTTTATTTGATAAAAAAAAAAATCATTCCAAGTTTAACGAGAAAAAAAGAGTAATTTTTTTTCAATTAATGTTTTAAAAAAATATTCAATGGACCAATAACTTATATAACACGTTATTGAAGGCGCTGAATTAAATTAAATAGTATTGAATACTGTATTTTCTAAGGGGAAATAACAATCAATGTTATATGAAACACTGTACTATATGTGTACATATGTATTCATTAAAAATGTATATATACATATATTAGATAATAAAGTTAAATTTAGTTGCACCATCTGATATTTTGCAATTTAATCAAATTTAAATATAATAATAATAATTAGTTAAAGAATTACAGAAAATCTTTGAGATTTTTATATTCCAAATTTAATTCAAGAATTGAAAGAATGATTTACAAATCAAGAGCTTACAGATGAGGTGCAACCAACAAAATAATAACTAATTTTTTTAATTTAAAAAGCAATTAAAATTTCTTAATTAATTATTAATTACCACAAAAAAGTCTCATTAATTTTTTTTTTTTAATTTTCAATAACATATAAACTGAATAATAATTTAATATGAATTTTTAAATTATTACATTTTTTGTACACTTTTTTTCGAAATCAGTGTAAAAATTTAATATTTCTTCATATAAACAAATTATTAAAAAAAGAACACACATATAAGAAATATAATTATATTTAAAATATGAATTGAATGAAAATTTTTTGGAAGAAATATATATATATATATATATAATAAAATTAGTTGAATTTACTAATGGAAAATTGATATTTGATACTGACTTGGACAAAAAAAATTCTCAGCTAAAAAAAATATTGTGGAGCGAAAATACTCTGGGAAAACCAAACGCTTTCTAATACGTATTGTATATGTATAAATGAATGTATAAAATTAATAGCGTTAAGAAATTGTATAACTCCGTGTACGTAAATGAAGATAAATGTATGTTTGTACAATTTCTTCTTGAAATAATTCAAGTATCCTTATCATCTCAATCCTGTTATTGAAAAATTAAAATTTCACATAATTCCATAAAATATTATTTCTAAATTTTGCTATTAATTTTATTTTCGGTTTTTAATTAAATTTAAAGAAAAATATGGTTTATTCACATTAATTAAACTTATAGAATAACATTATTAAAACTAATATAGTTTATTTTATTTTTTTATACCTTATTCAATAGAAATACAACTCTTTTGTTGTTAATCAATTATGGTAAATTATGGATGTAGTGCCAATTTTACTCTTCCTCTTTTACTATTTATTACATCCCAATTTACCAAAGCCAATGTTGTTGGATCCATTTTGTCCGTAAATAAATGTCCCTATTAAAATAAAAAAGAAAATTATTTAGTAAATTAATTTTTACATTTTTAATTAAATTATTATAAATTATAAAATTACTTTTAAATGATCTATTTCGTGTTGAGCAATTTTAGCCGCCCAATCTTTAGCATGCCATGTTTCAGTTTCACCAAGTGGATTTAGACCCGTCACTATAACTTCTTTAAAACGTGGTACATCTGCCTCAAAATGTGCTGTACTCACACATCCTTCAGAAGAAGTAAATTTAGTGTGATCCACAATTTTCATTACTGGATTAATAAAAACTTTTAATGGAAATACTTCAATATTAAATGCCTTTCTTTTAGTTGGACCAACCGCTCTCCAATGTTTTTGTGTGAGTTCAGCAACAAAAATTTGTAAAGGAACACCTATTTGAGGTGCTGATAAACCAACAGCATCGTATAATTTCATAGTTTGTATTAGAATATAAATTATCTAAAATAGATAAGTTATTATTTTTTTTTTTTTTGTGAATATAGTTTTTATAAAATAATATTACTTACATTTTTGATATCTTTCGTAGGAATTAATTCTGGCTTTACTAATTCAGCTGGCCGTCGAAGAACTGGATCTCCAATTTGACAAACATGTCGAAACGGTGGTTTCACGTCTTTTGGCATAAAATAATTACGCATCATAAATTTCAAAGCTCGCAAATGACGACTCATACTCATTTTTTTTTTTTTTTTTTATTTAAAATTCCCCTTCAAAAATCTAATATTGTACTGCTTTTGCAATTATTTCTATAATTAAGAAAAATTCGAATTAAAAAACAGAACTATTTTAAACATTATTATATCAGGTATAATAAATTCAATCAACTTTACTCTTAATAAATATTAAATTACTGTAAAAAACGAACAGTAACAAAATAGTTGAAATCGTGTGATTGATTTCTTTTTACAAATATTACGCCAATTTGTCATAAAACATACATGTTTACTCTAATAAATATAAAATAATTTGAATATACAAACCAGTGTAAGCTTTTAACTATATAAACAATTCAGAAATTTCATTTAAATATAAATATTGCTTAAAGGACACTAAAAGTTATTTTAAGACAAATTTTAGGTTAGGTTTAAAAACCATATGATTATTTAGCAGACGACAAAGAAAATGACGTTTCACAAAGTCACGTGACTTATCTGAATTTTCATTGGATTAAAAGAGCCGGGTAATTTAAAAATTCTAGTAAGAAATACTACAAATTATATAAGCGGAAAGAAAAGACTAATTTAAAAAGAAAAATTTTAAGATATTTTAACTCGAAAATATATTTCTCAATTTTTAATTATAATAGCATAAATATTTGCAAGCTAATTTAAAAATTAATTTGTTATTTATTCTTATTTGACAACGTTGGTAACCATGACCTTCATGGCAACATAAAACAACATAACAACGATCATGGTTATAAAAATTGTATATATATATATATATATATATAAATATCTTGTGTGATGTGTCAATTATTTTAAAAAATAAATAAAAATTATCCTGACAATATTAAAAGGTAAATTCTTTAATTAACATATATCAAAATCATTAATTTTCATCATCATCATATATAATATAAACATAGGTTATGAAATGCCAAAATATTATTGTGACTATTGTGACACATATTTGACACACGATTCACCAAGTGTAAGAAAAACACATTGTCAAGGACGAAAACATAAGGATAATGTAAAATATTTCTATCAAAAATGGATGGAGGAACAAGCACAACAACTTATTGATGCAACAACAGCAGCATTTAAAGCTGGAAAAATTGCTTCAAATCCATTTGCAACAAATAAAGGTGTTGCAATACCACCACCTCCAAATCTTGTACCAAGACCTGGACCTGGTGTTGTTCCACAACAAGGTCCACCAATGATGCCACCGCCAGGAATACATCATCATCATCATCCTGGACCACCGATGATGATGGGTCCAATGCCACCAATGATGGGAAGACCACCAATGATGCCACCCATGGGACCAATTGGTCACATGATGGGCCCAATGGGACACATGAGACCATCACCAATGACTGCCCCAATGCCTATGAAAAAATAAAGTCTATAGTCTATTATTATTTAAATAATTCGAATGTAAAAAGTAATTGTAAATGTTGTACGTTTATGTTCTTATATTCTTATAGTCGCATATCATGTGGGTATTTATTAATAAATGTATTTTTTAATGAATATACTATATATAGTTATATATTACAAATAATTTTACAATTATTTAGATTCTTTTCTTATGTTAAATTTTATTTTTGATTAATCTTCAATTTTTAATATAAAAAACTATTGAAACAAGGGATAAATTGAATTTCAAAAAATTTGAATTTTATACTTTTTCCATTTATTTGTTTTCACAAAAACAATATATGTATATATATATATATACAATGTATCTCCGAAAACTTTTATTTTTATCGCAATATTTTAATATTATTCGAAATCAAAATTTTTTCCTAAAAAACTACATTTATACTAAACATTTTTTTCTTGTATAAATTTAAATTAAAAAGTACAATATGTACTTTAATTGTAAAAAAAATTGAATCCTTACAATCATATCTAACGTAACATTAAATAATCAAAAGTAATACATTTTTTTTTTTTTTTTTTTTTAATATCATTTTTCTTAGTTACTATTTTTAATAATAGAAGTTTAATTTACTTCATAGAATCAATATTCTTCAAATATTTTAAAGGATTTTGCATTTATTTATTTATTTAAGAAAGTCTCTGAAAAACACTTTTTTTTTATTTAAAAGAAAAAAATTTATTCACTTTCTTTTTTCTTAAAAAATATTACTTTCTTATTATTAAAGTAATTAAAAGAAGATAGTTGATAAATTATTGTTATAATTACATTTATTCATTTCAGATTTCTTATTTTTCTTATATATATATTACACTTCAAATTCATATGAAATGAATAATCTGAACTATTTAATAATGAAACGTGTTTATTTTCCGAGACATTCTTTTTTTTTATTATTATAAAGATTTATAAAAAAAAATTCAGAAAATATGAAATGAATTTTAGAAAACGCAACTCAGTCCTCTTCAAATATCGTCTATTAGAATTTTTTTTTTTTTTTATTATTAAAAAATTCTCTTATATTTCAAAGTTCCTAAAATGTTTTTCTTTTTTCATTAAAATTTAAATCCCACGTTTTGATCGCTTACTATTCCAATCATCACGCATATTCTTTCTTTTTCCTCGATTAAAATCATTATTATCCCAATTTTGATTATTTGAATTCATAAAATTATGTGTATGCATATCGTCATCGAATGACATTCGTGAATTATTATAATTTGAAAATGACATATTATCACCTAAATTTCTATTCATTGAATTATTTGATCTATTGGAAAAATTATTTGAGCCTGGAAAATAATTTTGTGAACTACCAGCAAAATCTGATGACCATACTGATCTACGTGATTGTGGTGGTGGTGGTGGTGTATTGGAAAAATTTTGATTGCGTGGCATATCAAAATATCGTTGGGCAAAAAGACTTCGAGGCGGTTGTTGTTGATTAGATTGTGATGGAAAATTATTATGACGCGGTGAATTATTGTCTTGTGAAAAATTCTGATTTCGTGAATTTGATTGGGAAAACATTGAATTGCGATCGTTGGTAAAATTTTGATTTCGTCCCATATCATGATTCCTCATGTTACTTTGCATGAGATTCTGATTACGTAGACTGTTTAATAAAAATTCATGATTATTTGATGATGATGATGTTGAAGAGAAACCTTGATTACGCGATGACATATCCGACATTCCAAAATAATGATCAGAATTCATATTATTACGTTTTCTTATATCAGATCTTCTTCGCGATCTTCTTTGTTGATGATTTCTTTCATTTGTGGAATTATTTTTTTCATTTCTTGAATTCTGATTATTTCTTTGATTTTGTATATTATTTCTCTGATTTTGTGTATTATTTCTTTGATTTAAATTGTTTCTTGAATTTAAATTATTTCTCTGATTTTGTATATTAATTCTTGAATTTTGTTGTTGATTATTTCTTGAATTATCATTATTTTGTTGATTAGAAATATTTTTTCGACGTGGACGTGTACGGGGACGTGTACGTTTATTTTGTTGTTGATTTCTTGATGATGAGAAATTTTCCTGAATTCCTTGATCAACAGAAGAAACTGGATTTGATAATGTATCACGATCAACTGAATTATTTTGATTGACAATTCGTTTTTTAGCTGGTGGACCACCTTGATTTCTTTGTTGTCGTTTATTTGATGGATTTCTTTGTACCGTAGGATTTCTTGATCTTAATGAATTATCCTTTTGATTTTGAAGATTTTGTCGATTACGTGAATTATTATTAAATTGATTTCTAAGATTATTTCTTGGATTTGATGAATTTTGTTGATTAGTTCTTTGTCCTTGTTGTATTTTTGTATTTGATGGATTATTATTCTTTTTGTAATAAGGTCTTCGATTTCTCCTATAGGTTTGTCGTTTTTTTGAAACGTTCTTCTTTGCATTTTCAGTGAGTTGTTCTGGTTTTGTATCGTCTGTTTTAACGGAAACCATTTCATATTCCGCATAAGTATTTTCCTTGGCACGATTGTCTTCTTGTTTTGTATTTTGTAATTTCTTTTTTGCAAAGGGATTAATAACTGTTAATTTTGTTTTTTGACCACATGGAGGAATAATTAATGGCGGCGAATCGGGTAATGTGATATTTTTCATAATCGCATAATTTTTTACCATTTCTTCTAATTCTTGAGGTAAATAAGGTGTGAATATCATATTGTAACAATAGATAACATGGAGATATTGTTTCACTGTAAAACCAGGACGTATTTGTAGTGAAAAATATAAATCACGAAACTTTGAAAGAAATTTACTGTCTCTTTTACTTTCACAATTGTCTTTAAATAATAACATTATGAGAATGAGTAATTTATTATCGAGATTTCGATATGCCTTTAAAAATGCCTCGTCTTCACTTCTTAAACCTTCTTTTCCTCTATATTCGGGAATTAATTTTTTTATTTCTTCATAAAGTGTTACAATATCTTCTTTAAGATTCTCTTGTTCGTGAAATTTTTGAGCCAATATTGATAATGTTACTTCTTTATTTCTGGTTAAAGTTTCACAAAATATTTTATCCTTATCCTCATCGTTGCGTCGTAACCAAAGACAAATAATGTCTTTTAAAGATTCACCACCTTTACCAACAAATCTAAAGGTTATTTTTAATTTTCCATCAGGTAGTCGAGCGAGTGTGAATTTAAATTTAACTTGTAAACTAAGATAATTTAGAAAATGTGGTACATGCGTACCAGCATGTATACCATCTGTAATTGCACCTTCAACCTCTTCAACTTTTACAATTGTTCTTTTTGTATTTGCCGTTCTATGTGATGGAGATTTAACAACATAAAGAATTTCTTCGTCTGGTTCTTGAGATGTTTTATTATCTATATTCACTTTTGTTTCACAGCTAGCTAAATCTACGTCTTCTGCAAAATTCACTTCATTCGATGAATCATTCACTTCTGTACAATATTTAGAACCAATTGGCCATCCATATTTGTCACAATTTACGGCTTTAGAATTTTTATGTCCACGTTTTTGATTGCGAGCCACTTTATCCTTTGGATTTTGAGTTAAGGAATTTTCAGCTGACGAATTTGTTCCTTGAATTTCCGCATCAACGTTGGTATCAACTTTTTCTATTTTTAAATTTGTGTCATTAGAATTGACATTTAAATCAGACTTTTCCTCGAGAACGCTTTCTGTATTAGAATTAGGTTCCTTATTCAATTCGACATTTTGTTCAGCTACTGATTCTTCTCCATGAATTTCTTCCAAAGGCTTTTCGGATTCTGTAGTAGAACATTGTTTTTCGTTTTCATCTATTTCATTCACTTGATTCTCATTTTCTTTTACTTGATTTTCACTTTCATTCACTTGATTTTCTTTAACTTCATTCTCACTGTTATTCACTTGATTCTCATTTTCATTAACTTGATTTTCATTTTCTTTATCTTGATTCTCATTTTCATTCACTTGGTTTTCATTTACTTGATTTTCATTTTCAACTATTGGAGCATTATTAACAGTCTCTTCGCCTTCATTCTTTTCCTGAAATATAATATAATTAATTAGAATTAGAAAATGACTGACATTTTTATAATATATTTGATTATATAGAATTTTTTGACGTTTAAGAATCATTAACTTTTATTTTGAGGTTAGGTAGTATATGAGCAACATGACAATTAATAATAATTTAAAATCTGTTTTTAAAAATCTAATATGAAGATAAAATCGAATAAACAAATAATAGTGATAATAATATTTGTAAACATTAATCTATAAGCCACAATCAATTTCATTTTATCAATAGAAATATACTTACGTCTTGACAAGTTTCACCTTCAGCAGGATTTGTTTCTTTACCTTCGACAGTAATCTCAGAAGAGTTTTCCTGATTCATTTTAATTTAAATACCTAAAATGAAAAAATACAGGTTTTTAAATTAATATAATGTAAATGTTTATATATAAAATATCTATCAAAATAGAGTAGCAAAATAGAAACTTAAATAATCATTTACATTTGCGTTTGTTAAAAATTAGTCAAATAGTGTGTAAAATGTTTTTTATGTTTACTACTACAATAATATAATTTATCTCCACTATTGATTAAAATTGATTGAGTACTCTCGAACTAGTGAAATAAAATAGCTTTCTTTAATACTATATTAGATGAAAACATGAAGAAATTGTTATTACACTAAATGGTAACGCTATAAATTACTGTCGTTGTTGAAGTCTTCGTTTTGTGTATTTAAACTTTATTAATTTGAACAGTCACAAGACACGTTTATTTATATTTATTTTTATACTTTCGGCATTTTATTATCTGACTTTTTTTTACAAAATGCAATATGGCCACACACTTCTTCTCTGCTCTGTCTTACTCCACCGGCTATGCGCAGTAATGAAAAATTAAAGTCCTGCGCACTTTCTTCTATCAATATTATTGACAGTAGTAAGAGAATGATTATTTAAATAAAATAATAATTTATTTTTCTTCTTAAATAATTATTAACAAAATAATTAACAGAAAAAATATAATAGAAAATATTTACGATAAAATTGATCAATTGATATTTGATTTCCTTCTTCCTGTTTCCAAATTTAAAAAAAAGTTATTACAAATTTTTTAAATTGAAGAAATAATTATTTAATTAATAAAAAAAGAAAAATCACTTTATTTAAATATAATTATTTATTTATTTTACAGAATCGAATTCATTTTTATAAATTATACAAAATAATTGTCAAATGAACGATGTCTGCAAAAATTAACATTGCTTATAATATAAATTTTTGTTTAAACCATTGAAGATAATATTAAACGTTACAAAAAAAAAAAATTTTTTGAATAAATATATTTTTCACAACAGAGAAAAATTTGTAGAATCAATCTTTTGATAGGAAATTAAGCAGACATTTCTGCTTTTGCAGAATAGTGGAATTTCATATAAAATTTTTCCAGTTTTCATTATATATCATAATATACTGTACATATTTACAAAGATAATAGAAAAATTATATATATTACATTCCTATCAAAATCCAGTATCGTTGGAATAATTTTTTTTAAATAAAATAACCGTAGAAATATGCATTAGAAATCTGAGAATGAATTTTTTTTAGATGATTTCTTTAACTTTTTCATTTGAGATTTAATACAAAGACGTTTAAGATTAGTCACATGTTTTCTTTGCAATTTAGATTGATTAATCAAATCTCCTACTTTAATTGCTGTCTTTGTGATTTCGGGTACATTTAATTGAAGTGCTTCATTCATATAGATAGTCGCTTCTTTTTTTAATTTTCGAAATTTTCTTAAATGTTTTCTATCTTTATTATTACATTTTTCCGAATGAAACGTACTTTTTGAGAAATCTTCAGACTTTCGTTGTTTTTTTGTCAAATTTATTTGACTACATTTACTAGATGTAGAAGTAACATTTTGAAAAGATGGAAATTTATCATTTGGAGTATTGTCTACATTATTTGTAAAATATTTTCCATTTCGCTGATTAATTGGAATTATTGAATTGTCATTAATTGTTGATATTGGAATAAAATCATCAGTGGGAAATGTAAAAACATTTCGTTTTTGTTCTGAATTTTTAGGCGAAATTGTCAATTCAACTTCTGACAATGAAAGCAATTTATTCGATGAAGAATTTTCATGTACCTGATTATTAATTTCTTGTTCTTCACTTTCTTGTTCTTCAATTTCTTCTTCGTCACTTTCATGATTAAACACTAATTCTTTCATTGAAACATTAACTTCCTTTGCATTTAAAGTGAAATATGTAACTAACATTTGCAATAAAGTTTTTGGTACATGATTGGCAAATACTAAATGATAATGATAATAAATGTCAATGTAATTGCTAAATGACATTCTTCCCATTTTATTCGCGATTGTTGAAAAACTTTCTAATTTGGAAAAAATATTTTTTTCATCACCACAATCATGTTTGTAGAGTAATGTGACAAGTAAACTTCTCATTGAAATCATATCTTTCTTTTTCTTCTTGAATTCTTGACTATTAGATTGATTTTCCTTTAGCCACATTGATGTTTCTTTTAAAAAATTATAACAATCTTCTACACTTTTTGATTCGATGTTTAATTGATCAAATTTAACACGAAGCAAATTAATTATTGCCGTTTTATCATTTGGAATTTTCTTCATTCGAGTTCGTGTTTCCTTGCATAAACCACATAACCAGAGATGGATTATTTTTTTCAATATATGCCGATTGGAAAATAATACATAATACGTTATAGACATGAATACTTTGGCATCAGCATTAACGGTAATGTAAATATCGCATTTTAAATTTTTACTCAAACATTTCAAAAAGGCAAAAGAAATTCGACCAGCGATTAATTCCTTGACATTTGCATTTTTCACATTATTTAAACATATTTGTTCTTTATGTATCCGATTAAATTGATCTAATGGTAAACGTATTTTTCGTGGTTTTCCAGTTTCACATTTGAAAATTAATTTCTCATTATCCAATATAGGCATTCTAGTAAATGAAAAATTATTCTTAACAGTTTGATTTGAATTTTCAATTAATGTACCTGAATTTCTAATTTTATTAGAATTTTTAGTTGAACTGACATTTTCTCCATTTTCACTTTCGTTAGATTGAAATGATGTTTCATGTTCTTCTAAATTTATAATTTCAACATTGATTTTTGCATTTTCAGATCCACTGTAATTTTGAACATGAGCAGGAGTTGGATAATGTGGTGTCCAACGATATTTTGGACAATTGAAAAATTCGTGTCCCCATTTTGTACAATTGCAACAAATCAAAAGATGCGATGGTTTCATGACTTCCTTCATATTCATTGGCGTTTTATGTTCTAAATGATTTATCTGAAATGCAATTTTAAAATAAGAATAATTTCTTGTTTAATATTTAAGTGCAGTAATTTAATTTTAAATTTATTTTAATTAAATCTGTATATATATATATACAGATAGATTTTTACCGTATGGTGATATTGTCGCCACAAATCAGGACAAGTCTCTTTTTTATGTCCTCGAGCTCGACAAAGTGAACAAACTAATTTTGTACATGATTCACAAGTTTTTCTGTATGAATGTTGTTTTTTGCCACACTAAAAATGAAAATCTTAATTTTAAACAAAATTCAATGTTTTTTTTTTTTTTTTTTAATTAAATTAGTAATATTTTTTTATTTACCGTAAGACAAATTTTTCCAGGACAACGTGTTTCATAATGTCCTTGAGAGCCACACATATGACAAATTGGAGATTTTTTCGGTTCAGGACAATTTGCCCTCAAATGTCCCGATTGACGACATAAAGTACATTTTGCTTTATTAAGAAAATATCTCTGTTGTCTCGAACTTGATTTCCAATCGTCATCCAAAATTGACCAATGTTTCGGATTTTCTTTAAAATAAGAAAAAAAATTTAATATAATTTATTATTATTTAAATTAATAATTTAGTTTAAATACTTACTTGACATTTTACTTCGAACTTCTTCAATATTGAAATTCTCTCCTCCCCAAGAATTGTTATAAAATGCTTTGACAGTTTCTAACATTGGCTCAAAGAAATATTCTTCGTCAGTTTTCTCATTACTGGTTCTATTATTTCTAATTTTATTCACTTTAGATGTACTTGGTTGTGGATCATCATTCAATGGCTTAAAATATTCACTGTACTTGGTCCTAGTTTCTTTATTTATTTCGATAGATGGTAAAGATGGTGCAGAATTTGGACCGACACAATTTAATATTAAATCATGAATTGGTTCATCATCGTCGTCGTCGTCGTAGTTGTCTTTAGAACTGATGCTACAATTTTCGATTAAACTAGATTGTGAAATATTGCTGAAACTCTCCTCTTCTGAATCAATATCAATACTTTCTATTGTTTTATTATTGTTAGAACATGATTCTGTATTTTCTTCTGAACTCTGTTCAGAATCATTTGATTTAGATAGAAATTTCTTTTTAGAGGGCATACAATTTAAATCATAAATTCCATCATCTGAATCTGAGGAATTTGTATCGGAATCTTTAACATTCACAAGTGGTGGAGAAGGTTTTGGAGGTACAGGTACCTCAAAAATTGATTCTTCCGAATCGGAACTTGTGAGTATTGACATTACTTTATTTGTGTTCACAATTTGTTCTTCTGACTTTGAAATATCAATGATGGAAAAATCCTCAGAAGAATCATCGGAAGAAATGATTTCAATTATTTCTTCTTTTTCAATTTGTTGCTTTATTTCGCTTATATTTTGTTTATTTGATTTAGAATTTTTTCTTTTTTTAATTTTCGATTTTTCGTCATCTTCAATTCGTTTCTTTTCTTTCCAACCTTTTGGAAAAAGAATATCCATTGCTCCATTGCTAATTGTTGGTAAATTATCACCAGCCCATGATTTTCTTGAATTTAATTGAATTGGATATAATTGAGAATCTGATTCAACGTTGGCATTTTCATTATGCTCGAGACTCCTTCTTTTTCTTGCACTCTCATAATCTTTGTCAATTTTAGATTTTCTTTTTGCAGATTTGGGTGTAGTTAAAGGAGTATTATTTACTTTTACCGGTGAATCATAAGTATTTTGTCCATTTTTTAATATAGGTGAATTATTTTTTGTATCCTTATTTATTTCTGATTTATTTCTCTGAGATTTTGGTGTTTTTTGTTGTAAATTTAAAGATTTATTATTGATTCTACTTGGAGTATTGTCAAATGTTACATCTGAATTCTTTTGCTTTTCTAAATTTAGACTTTTGTCAAGGCCTTGTGTTAATTGATCATCAGTTTTTTTATTTTCATCTTTAGAAATAATTGAATTTTGAATTGGATTTTCTTTTAATTGTGAAGTACTTGGCATACAAGAACGACTTGCATTTTTAATATCTTGTATTGTTTTCATAGAATTATCTTCAAAATTCTCCTCCGTTTCTATAATGTCATTGGAAAAATAAATTTCAGCGTACAATCGTCCCTCTAAATCACTGTCGTTTTCATTGTCCTCGAATTCATCTTGATTCCCAGAAGAATTATAATTCTAGAGACAATATAAAAATATTAATCAATGATAAATTATTATTTATATAAATGCAAGTCACCAGTGACTGATAAATGATAGAAATATAAAAAAAAATGCTTGACTGTATATATACGTAGAATATTATATAAATACTATTAATAATAATATAATCAAGAATATAATTGAAAGATTGTAATATAACCTAACCTCAAAATAGTAAAATTATTTGAACAGTCAATTGATAAAATTATATGAAATTGTTTTAGAAAGTTAAATCTTTTAAGTAAAATAAAATTTTGTTCTAATTATTAAATAATTAATAAATTCCAAATAACTGTGAAAAAATAAATGGCTTACCGTCTTCAAAACTTCATCCATTTTCCCTTGTTGATAGAAAACTTAACTTTATACTTAAAAATGAAATTTCTACAGTTTATTTGCATTACTTTAATAAGTCTCTGCTTTTCTGTCCTAATTAGTTGTTTTTTTTTTAAACAATTGAAAAAACAAATTTAGATATTATTCAGAAGCACATGGTAGAAAAACTCACTTATAGCAGAACAAAACCTGCAGTAACTTGTTGGTTTCTGCAATGGCCGTCAGGTGCATTTACAATTGCCGCTCAAAATTTAAAATCAATCTTTAAATTTTTTTTCAATAAAAATCAATACATAGAAATAAAATATTTATTTGTTCGTAAATTTTTTTTTACATTCAAAATTTAACAAGAAAAAAAAAATTATGAAATCAATGAATTAGGAAGCTTATAATTAATAGAAAATAAATTAATTTACAATTTAGAATTAATAAGTATTAATATTAAAAATATTTAACAAAATTCGAATTTGTATATTATAAGTATAACTGCAATGTATATCTTTAGAGTGGCGAAACTTAAAAACATTAATATTTCTTCTCTAAACAAAAAACTTTATGCGATTCATTTGTGTCTCATTATCAAGAAATTAATGTTTTCTTTCATAAATATTTTTCTATCAATGTTATCTCTTTTCATATATACTTTTATAATATACATTTTACACAGCCTGAATTTCTTTTGTTGTCTTATTAATCAAAAAAAAAAAAAAAAAAGCTAACAAATTTACTCATTATTTGATGACGATATATCATAAAGAGAATTTATATTAAGTGCATGTAGAAAATGCGTAAGATGTGGTTGATATCCACTGTTGGCCAATTTATTGGCAACATGTGCCATATATGCTCTTAATTTGCAAAATGACTTATACATATTTTCAATTTTATTATAATTAGGATGTACGTAACCTGTTGAATTACGAATCCATTTTTGCGAACGTATCTGATTGTGAAATTTTAATACAACTATAAAAACATTTCTTAAGCACTCTTGCATTCTTTGATCCTTTTTATACAACATACATCTACAAATAAAAAACAAAATTGAATTAATTTTTAAATCATTTTAATTAGAATTTAAAATTAGAAAAAAATTAAAATTTAATCATTTACCTTGATAAGATTTTCTTTATATAAACAACGTGAGTTGAATAAACTTCATCAACTGTTGTTGCGTGTTCCAAATCTTTTTCAAATTCAGTCCAACTCGCGTGTAAAACACTGCACGTTAAATAAGTGTGTAAAGCATTTATAAATTGCATCATGGAATGTCTATAGAGATGAATCTGAAAATTTAATTAGTTTTAATATTAAAAATTCAAAATAAAACATTAAAATTTTTTTTTATACCTTATGATATTGTTCCGAAGTAGCAGCTTGATTTTCCGTCTTTAGAATATGAAAATCCTCCTCCAAAACCCATAAAACTCTTCCAACCATGAGTAAAAATTTAAAAACTTTGGTATACTGAAGCATAACAACATCGTCGAAAATTATATTAAGCGGCCAGGAAGTTTTGTAATTTAATATAAGACAATCTAACGCCTCTGGATTTGATACCTAAAAAAGTAAAATATAATTTTTAATTTTCTTAAATTTTTAATATCAATTATTTTTTTATTTATCAATACCTGTAGATGATTTGGTAATCCAGTTGCCGAAAGACTCAATAGTTCTGAATTTGCATAAGTACTACTCAATGAACTAACAATTGCCCTATCTAAAATTGTTTTCAATGTTGCTGAATTAAAAAGTTCAAATGGATTTGCAGCATCGTACAATTTTGTAAATAAAGAGCGTGTTAAACTTTTTGCAAATTCTCCATTTAATAAAAAGAAATAATCCCTTAGACTATGAAGATGTGAAATAATATTGTGCTCATGAAGAAGATATTTAACCATTGCATTATTAACAAGTTTACATTGAATTTGAAGTGGAATCATAATTGATTTTTCAAGATAAACTGATAATGATGTTGTATCAAGCATTTCAACATCAACAACAGTCAATGATGATTCAAAAGATGGAGTTATTGCATCCGTATTAAAACCAATAAAATCTGGATGTTTAATTTTTCCCTGAATATGATCAAATCTTGATTCAGTTATTAATTTTGAATTATCGATAATTTCATCAGAAGCCGTTGGAATTTGAATATCGGTACTACTAATTTCTGAGAATGGTGTATTTTCACAACTTTGCATTTGTATTGAACTACTATTCATTGATGAAGTGAAATAATCCGTTGCCGATGACATTGGTGTTTGAAATCCTAATTCTTTGACTTCTTCAATTTGCTCTTGATCTATTGTTAATGTTACAGTTTTTTTTGGTTTCTCTATTATTCCTTGTTCTGTTCTGTGAATTGTATTTCTCAATCGATTTCTTTGTATTTCGGTCATATTTTCTGTGGTAATTTCGGGAATTTTTGATATTTGTAAAGGATCCCAATTCTCCATTTGATGTTGTGTATTTCGCAAACGATTCATTTGTAATTCAGTTAATGAAGGAATAAAATTGGCATTAATATTTTCCTCAACTGTAAAATCAATTAGTGATTCATTATTATTTGGTGTTATTAGGCCAAATTCATGTTGCATTACACGCATTTTATTTCTTTGTGCTTCGGACATGGCTATTTCTCTTAATTCTAAATATTTCGATTTATCAGTTTTGGATTCGGTAATTTTTGTTGAAAAGTTTGTTTTTGATTGAATTAAATCGGAATTAATAATTGATATTGATTCAGTTTGTGGATTTATTATATTGAAAAAATCATCACTTTTTGGATCATTATTCGTTTTTATATCGAGAACAGTGGGTCTAATTGGTTTCTTTTTTTCACATTCTTCTATATTTTGTGCAAGATTTGTATTTTCAACTTCTAAAATTGATTCACTCTCATTTACATTACAATTTTCATCTTTGTGCGCTTCCTGTTGTATTGATTTTATCACATTTTCATCTTTATCAGTATTTATTTCTACTGATTCTAATTTTTCATCTAAACATTCAGGTTCATTATTTGGTTCACTGATTTCATGAACCTTTTCTGAATTATCAACTTCTTTCTTCTCTTGCTCGACACTTGGAGAAGAATTTACTTCATCATTTGATGAACATATTTCTTTTTCTAAATTTAATATAAATTCAGCTCTTTCATCAAATAAATTCATTCTTTTTAAACGCCATTCAGTTCGAGCTCTTTGTTTTTTAACTTCGACTGCCAATTCATTGTAATATTTTAAAGTTTTTGCTCTAAAAAATAAAATAAGTATAATATAAATAGTTTTTTAATAATAAATTAAAAAAAAAAATATTTGTACTTGTCTTACTTTTCCTCCCTTTCAAGATTCTTAGCTTCCTCTTCTTCTCGTGTTAAATTTTCAAGAAAGATTTTATCTGCTAATAATTCTGCATTTTTATCCTGTTCTTTTCGTAAAGCCGCTTCCTCTGCTTGAATTTTCAATTTTTTCAAATACTCATGCTTCTCTTTTTCGACCATCTTTAAACGTTCCTCTTTTTCCTCTGCAAAAAAAAAAATAATTTTGTAATGCTTATAAAGAAAATTTTTTAAAGATAATTGTAATACTTACTTTTAAGTCTCAAGAGAGTTCCTTGCTGAGCATCCATAACAAGTTTTGCTCGTCTTTTTTCCTCTTTGATACGTTCTTGAAATGCAGAATACAAAGAAACAACTGAACCTAATGCTTCTTCACCTTTTTGTCTGTATATATGACAAAATTTATATTGCTCCTGTAACATTTTTGTGCTGAGACAAACTCTCACCGATGGTTGACAAGTTGATGACACAAGACAAACGGCATTCTGAAAAAAATATAACAAGATTAAAATAAAATTTATTTTCTTAAAAGAAAATATTTTTATTTACCTTTGGATCACAAATCTTTAAGAGTCGTATAGTTTTTCCACATTCTAAAATTGAATCTGCATAATTTCGAAGAAATCCTGGCACAGATTGAGTATTAATTGTAAAGGCTCTTGTCCAAAATTTGCGATCTTTCAATCGTACATAATGAGGTTTCACTCTAATCATAAACTCCCCGTAAACATCTTCGCATATTCCTTCAAATATCCATTTTCTCAAGAATCTACATTTACAATTGTAAATAAAATTCAATGAACAAAAAAAAAATCATTAAAATGAGAAAAAAATTAATTATAATTACCGAAAATATACTTCACAACATGATTTTAATATAGAGTAAAATATTAAGGCCACATTTGGTTTAGTAACCATTGTAACTTGTTCGTAAATATGAGTGAGTATTCCTAAACCTTCGCCTAATGAAGTTTTTTCCAATCCATTACACTGACAAAGTTCAGCAACTTCAACTATTAAAAAACCCAATGGCCGCACTGAATTTAATAATTTCAAAAGTCCCATTTTTTCATTTTCTATAATGGGAATTTGAAGAATAGCTGCTTGATAGTAGAGTAAAAATTCTTTTACACTATCGCACATCGCCTGAAATTTTACAAATTTATTTAAACAAAAAATAAAATTAAATACTAGAATATTTTTTATACTTTACCTTGAAAATTAGGCCTCCAACTTGTAATTTACCAGAATTTGGATCAGGTGTTACTAAATTAGTTAAAGCCTTAAAGCAAGTTCCCCATCGAATAATTTCATAGGAAATATTTTCAAGTGACTCAGGACTAATACCGCAAATAGCTAAATTTTTCTTTAAACTAAATCCCTCCTGAAAAAAATAGAAAAATCGTCTTACAAATCTATTATAATAGACACGATGTAAAAAAAAGAAAACTTACCACTGGATCGTAACAAAAAGAATTTGATTCAACACCAAGAAGCAATAATTTAATATCCTTGAGAAAAGTTAAAGCAGAAATTTCAGTAATTAAAGGCGTGGATAGAAGAGCTTCTTCAGAAAGTAAAGGTAAAATGCCAGCTTGTTTCAATTTAGCTAAATGTAAAACAGCTTCATTCGATTCTGAGAGAAATGATGGTTCTTTTATTGATTCGACAATTCCTAAATTTTCCCAAGTACGTGGATATTTCACAGGAGGAATTTCATGAACATTCTCCCAAATATCCAAACTCTTTAAATTTTCATCTATATTATTGAGAGAATGATTTGATATTTGTTCGTCCCAAATATCTGAAGCACTTTGAATATCATTGTTAATTTGTTCAACAGGTGGCCATGGCGATTCAGGTTCTGTTACTATTCCCTCTATCGATTGTATACCCTCTAAAAATCCTCTTGTATTTTCCTATATATAAATATTTTGTTCATTATATTAATTAAATATTAAAAGGAAAAAATTTAATTCTTTTTACTATACATTTATCTGAGGTAGAAAATGTGAACCCATTGAGAAACCCATGACTCGAGAAAATGTTGAAATACATCCCGGAGTAGAAGTAACAGATCCTCGTTTACTTTGATAACTGCAAAAAAAAAAAATAAAAATAACTTAAGAAAAATTCTCCTTTCTGCAAAAATATAACGAAATAATTTTATTTACCCAATTGATTGAATATCAACGGAACAATTTGATGTAAATTGATTTAAAAGTAAAAGATTGCTTCCCGGAATTGCGGCACTTTCTTTAATAATACTTTCTCGATTAACTCCAAGAACTGTTTCAAATTTACTGGGTAATTTGCAAGCTTCGAGAGGATAAACTTGAAACAAAGAAACCTCATTCTCATTGCAAAGTTCTTCGGGTAATAGAGGATTCGCCTTGCCGCAGTTAAAGATATTCTAAACAATTTAATTTAAAATAAATGAAATTATTACACAAATTATAAATTGTCAACAAGAATTAATTTTATAGCCTAAGAACTCACCAGGCTTTCTTCATCTTCAATGTGTGAATCTTTTAATTCATTTAACAGCATCAAAATTGAAGAAACAAATGATGTTGTTTCCTCAGTTGTATTTACAAGAAGTTCGTCCAATAAATTTTCTAATTCTTTAGCCTGTGATCGACGACCAAATTGTACTTTAAGTTTAAAGGAATATTTTAAAAGCTCAGCAATTGGATCATACTTTTTATCACTATCCAAACCTAAAATGTAAATATCAAATTATAATTATTTTGAAAAAATATATTAAAGAAATAGTTAATAACAAAAATGTCATTTCGATAATATTGTTATGTAAAGAAAAATTCCTAAAGTAAAATTACTTACGATAATTAGTTTTATTAAGAAGAATCTCAAATGCTTTTGATCTCATTCTTTTTAAAAGATGAAGAGAATTTTTATCTGTTGAATAACATTGATGATCTTCTAATAAACATTGTTTTTCAATTAAATGTTCACATAATTGAGTAACAAGACCAAATACATCACTATTTTTATGATCCAAAGCCATTTTTTCTCTTTCACTATTTAAAAATGTTGTAAAATTCGTAATTTTCCTTTAAAATCATATTTTAAATTATTCTATTTTCATTTTTAAGTAGTTTTAGATAGAAATAAACATTTCCCAAACAATTATTGAATTTCTTCAGTAGATTGTCGTCTGCTAGTCAGCAATTGCGCAAGCGTTGATGATTAATTAAGCGCTTTAATTTAAAAATTTAAGTTTTATGAATAAAAAAAATTGTAGTATAAATCAAGTATTATACAATTCTTTAATAATTAATATTAATTGAAACATTTTTAATCATTTTTTATGTCAGTCTTTATTTGTATAACTTATGTATTTATTGTAAAATGGTCTGGAAATTTCAGATGTTATAATTTGAGGTTATGATGACGCCATTGTTGTTGATTTGACACTTACGAAATTTTCGCGCGTTTTCGTGTTTATTTCACAATGGCGGAATGTCTGAAAGCATGAGGGTATAACAAAAGAATATATATTGTTTCTTTATAGCATAAGTTTCCTTAGTAATTGACGGTGTTTATTTTAAAAGAAGAATCTATGAATTCGATTGTTTTCTCAGTGAGTTATTTAGTGGAAAGTTTAATTTATAAAATCTTGGATATATAATAGAATCTAAACTTGATATAAAAAAAAAATTATATCAAAATGGGTATTACCGGTTTAATTCCTTTTTTGAGTAAAGCATCAAAAAAATGTAATATTTCTGAATTTTCTGGTGGTACAGCAGCAATTGATGCTTATTGCTGGCTTCACAAAGGAGCATTTTCTTGTGCTGATAAATTAATTATGGGACAATCTTCGGATGCGTAAGTGTACACTAATTAATAACCAAATGTTATTTGTATATCTATTTCTATTTTTATATATTATTTAAAATATATATTCTATAGTAGATTATAATGTCTTTATTTGATATTATAAATTTCGTTTGTTATTTAATATATTGTTTGTCATAATAAAATATTTTTCTAGACATGTTAGATTGACCTGATTAATTAATCCGATTTTTTGTTTGTATAATCAGCATAATTTTTGCACAAACAAAATTCCAAGTGATTTAATATAAATTTACAAATGTAGGTTAACAAATGACATACATTTAGGATTTTTTTAAATGCAATACAATTTAAAAATATAAACGAAAAGTAAATTTCTATTTTTTTTTAGATACGTTAAATATTGTATGAAACTTGTTCATATGCTTATTGCGGCTAATGTAAAGCCAATTTTGGTTTTTGATGGTCGTCATTTACCTGCCAAAGCAGATACTGAAAGCAAAAGAAGAGAGTATGTATATAATTTAATTTATTTTATTATAAATTTAGAAAATATAAATAATAAGCAAGGTATTATAATTTTTTTTTTATTTTAAAGACAAAGGGACAGCAATAAACGAAGAGCTGCAGAATTAATGAGAATGGGAAAACATTACGAAGGAAAAAATCTCCTGAGGAGATCATTAGACATATCACATGAGATGGCTTTAGAAGTCATTAAACAATGTCAAGCAGAGAATGTTGACTGCATCGTTGCACCTTATGAAGCAGATGCTCAATTAGCTTATTTAAATATTTCTGGAATTGCTGATGTTGTTATTACTGAGGATAGTGACTTAACTTTATTTGGTTGTACAAAGGTTAATAATGATTTTTATTTAAAACTAGAAATTTTCATAAAAAAAATGATGTCAATAAACAAATTTATTGTTTTAGATATTCTTTAAAATGGACATAAATGGTAATGGACTACTAGTGGAACAAGATCGTATCCATTTAGCAATGGGTGTTCGTGCTGAACATTTTGATATGGATAAATTTCGTCACATGTGTATTTTATCTGGCTGTGATTATTTACCATCTCTACCTGGAATTGGATTATCAAAAGCATGTAAATTCATTTTAAAAAACACTGATTGCGATATTTACAATGTAAGTGTTTCATTTTTAAATTGTCTATACGTAAATATTAATTTCAAATATATTTGTTTTTTTTATCCCATATTATTTTCAAGGCACTTTCGCGAATAGCTTCGTATCTTAACATGAAATCATTAGTAGTGACAAAAGAATATAGAGATGGATTTATTCGTGCTTTTGTAACATTTAAACATCAAATGGTTTATTGTCCAATGAAACGACAACAAGTGAGACTTTATCCACCACCTCCACATGTCACCGATGAACAATTGCGACACGCTGGTATTGAAGTTGATGAAGATTTAGCATTACAACTTGCTTTGGGCAATTATGATCCATTTAAATTAAAAAAATTACACGACTATAATCCTGACGATTTATCCGTAAGTTTTAAATTTCAATTAGTAATTTTTAAACTTCTTTTATATTTTTTATTTGTTTATTTAGAAAAAAATTCAGCGAACAAATTCCTGGACTGATCGAAGTATTGTTAAACATGAGAGTATTTGGTCTAGAAATTTCAAGAAAAGAGAAATCACTTCACCTAAACAAAAAACACTTAAACCTTTCATTCATGAAACTGCAGGGCAAGTTATGATGTATAAAACAACAATTATGGAAAAATCTACACCAAAAAAACGAAGTTTTGATGGTATGTCTATTTTACTTTTTTTTTTTGTTAGATTTTATTATTAATTCAATTAATTATTCTAGATGTAGATGAAGATATAGATTATATAGCAATGTACAGTCAGGAAAGCAAGAAAAAAAGTGAAATCACTGAAGCTAAGCCTGTGAAAAAAGAAGAACAAGAAGAAGACGACAAAATGACATCGCCAGTATTAAGTAGACGAACAAGAAATCCATTTGCAAAAGGTGCCGATGGTGAATCACCAAGTCTTCTAACTAGAACTAGAAGACGAACAAGACTCAATATTTTCACACCAACTGTAATTGATAGTACAGTTGTTGAAGAAAGTAAATTTTTTGCCAAATCATCCTCGTCTGAAATAAATGAAAATGAATTTAAATATACAGAAAAAATCACTTTGTGTAACGATAGTGAAATTTTGAATCAAATCAAAAACGAAGGCAAGGAAAATATAAATGAAAATAAAATATTCTCCATATGTAAAGATGAAGAAGAAGAAGAAGAAGAAAAAGAAACAGAATTTTTAAAGAAAAATTCGAAAGATATTCAACAATTAAAAATGAATGATGGGGAAGATAATTTATCTGAAAATTTTTCAATGGAGAATCAACAGTTTTCGAAATCTTCAGAAGATGATTCATGTCAAGAAAATACGTTAGACAAAAGTATTGGTATTTCAAATATAAAAATCACCGCGGATTTTGATTCTGAATTAGAGGAGAATTCATCAAAATGTTTGGAAGCAACTGAAGGCAGTCTCTTTATGGATACTGGAGAATTATTAAATAATTTAGAATCGCAAAGAAGTCAAAGTCCTGACTCAGAATTGGAATATTCTGTTGAAGCTAGTAGTATTGAAACTATTAGAACTGGTTTATTTCAATGGTCAAATACAAAAACTTTGGGTGCAAAAAAATTAACTAGTCAACATAAACAGGTAATTTTGAATTTCAATGATTTAATTTATAACAATTTTCTACTTCACTAGGAAAAAAATTAAAATTAAATTATTAAATTAATTTATTTTCAAATAAAAAAAGGAATTGTTTATAGGTTCCTAATAAGAGAAAATCGCGAACTTCTTCTGGAGCTAGAAAATCCACAGTTTCACAAGGTCAACAAAGTCGGTTGAATATGTTCGGATTTGAAAAAAGGTTAGTTTCTTAAAAATTTATAAAGTTCTTATTATTTTCTTTTAAATATAGTAAAGGGTTAATTATTTCAGATCGAGTTTAAAACATTAAAAAAAAACAAGAAGAGACTTAACTTTCAACGTACAAAACTGCCATATTTTCAGGGTGTTATAGTATTCTTTTTGGAATTTTATTTTGTTTTTTTTAAAAGTTTGTAAATATTATAAATATTGAACTAGTTTTGTATCATCGTTAAGAGTCTTTTCAGTAATTGAATTGAGTATTTAGCAAAATAGATTCTTAAATTAAATGACGTTTTGGTGTTTTATTTAAAATTATAAAAAAAAATAGTAAAAGTTTAATTAGTAAAATTAGATACTTTTATTATATTATGAAAATATTAATTTATTATTTTAAAGTCTATTATGCTGAATGCTTATAAATTCTTCTTGCAGATAAATAATTATTATTTACTATTTACAAATAATTACGAAAGTCAATAACTTCTGTGATAAATGACATTTCGAAAACTCAATCATTTTCTAATAATTTTATCTGAAAGATAGTTTATTATTTTATTTCATTTAAATTTTGTTTCTTTCCTATTATTTTTGCACTGGAGCAAAGTTTTTATTATAATAAATTCATGTAGATAAACAATTTTTCTTATTTCTATTGTGAATTTATTTATTATAAAAGTATGTTAGTGTTTTTTTTTCTTTTTTGATAAAATAGAAAAGTTTACATTATTTTTAAATTTTACTATTACTGCGTATGACGATATTTCTGTTATTTCAAATTATAAGTATACACTAATTATATTTGAAAATAAAAAGTTAAATACTAAAATGAAAATTTGTACTTTTAATCGTAGAATAAATGCAATGAATAATTTTATTTTAATAGCTTTATTACACATATTTAACAATCTAGATATGTTTGTATAAAAACAATAATCTTAACACTATTGTTACGTACATTTTTTTTTTTTTTTGATGAATTATATGAAACATTTAAAGATTTTTTCGTGTATTAGATTAATTAAAAAAATAAATTTACAGTACCAATAACAATCAATGAATTTTAAAAGTCTTTGAATGATAATTTTAATAATAATTAGCGATTGTACGTCAATTTGTATTATTTTTTTACAAAAACATTGTCTTGATAAACCAAAAAAATAATCTAAGAAATTTTATATAAACTCACTCATAACTTCGCTACACCGATAACAAATTCCTCCATTTTTCGACTCAGGATGTCGTCTACAACGTTTACACAATTTTTGATTTGTTCTTTCGAATTTAATTTGTGGATCTGTACAAGATTCATCTTCAATTAATTTAATGGACGAAAGACGAAGTATTTCACAAAGTTCGGAAGTCGACGATATCTCTTCTTTCTGTAGATTCTATTTCAATCAAATAAATATTTTAAATACAATATATATTTAACAAATAGGCAAAAAAATTTGTATTAAAATTAAATTTATTATTTAAAAAAAAAATAAATTATCTATTTATTAATAATTAATTTTTGTTAATTACTTACCAATAGAAGAGAAAATTGATTCATTTCAACTCGAATTGTTGCTTTTAATTCCCAAGTATTTTTATCAGCAAATTTATTCACTTTTTCTTTTATTAATAATGCAACTTTTATTATTTCTTCAATTTCTGGTTGATTCCAATTATTCGTCTGTTTATAACCAGAATGAAACAATGGTACGGAAGCTGTAAAATTTTAATTGAACATTAAAAATAGATAATTTATATTTAGAAAACAAATTTTTTTTCTGAAAAGAAATTACAATACCTAAATTCTCAGGATGATATAACCATACTTCTTCGGCAAGATGTGGTACAATTGGTGCAATTGATCTCACAACAACAGCCAAAATTGCGCCAATTACATCAACAGCTCCGGCTCGATAGGGAGAATTTACATTTTCACAATAAAGACGATCTTTCACCAAATGACAATAAATTGAAGAAACATCATTTGTAATAAAATTAATTATATGCCTTGCAACATTATGATATTCATAAATTGAATATAAGTTTTGAATCTATAAAATAAATAATTACATATTTTTTATTTAAATCAATTTACAAAACTTTAATATATTAAAGATTTAAATTTAACATTTATTTACCTCTTTATTGTAATGATAAAGACGATGGAGCATATATTTGTCAATAAATAAATATTGCGGTTCAACGGTATTTTTAACGGAATAGGGATGAATTGCTCCCAAAAGAAAACGAAAAACATTTCGTAATTTATTGACATTATCGGAACTATCACGAAGAACACTTTCTTTAAGTGGTATTAAACTATGCTGACTTCCATGACTGGAGACCCACCATCTATAATTTATTATAAATAATATTCAATTTACTATTTTCTGTAAAACTTATAATATCGCTTATGATTTATTTTTCAATTAAAATATACCTGAGAACGTCGATGCCATAAGCTGGTTTCTGCTTTTCATTTTTGTTACCTTTTACAATTTCTTCTGGACTTATTACATTTCCTATTGATTTTGACATTTTATTATTATTTTCATCCACTGCGAATCCATGAACATATAAACCTCTAAAAAATATATAAATTATTAAAATTCTTATAAATTTTATTTATTTATTTATTAGTTTGAAAAAATGATAGTAATAAATATTAATCAAACTTGTAGGGTGCAGAATTTTGAAGAGCAATGGAAGTTAATAATGATGTTTGAAACCATCCTGTAAATTGATCCATTCCTTCTATATAAAGATCCGCTTTACCCTCAGGTAATACCGATGACCAAGAAATTCCACTGTCGAACCAAATATCCAAAATGTCATTTCCTCTCTCGATATTTGTGACATTTAATTCTTCCATTAATTTTTTACCAACAATTTTCTCAACAGGCAATTCCCACCAACAATCATTACCATTTTTTTCTATCAAGCGACATAATCTCTCAACAAATTCTCTATGTAAATTAAGAAATTTTGTGATAATTACAACTTTTCATCTTTTTTTCAGAAGCTTACAAAAAAAAGGCAAATTTCAAAGAAGAATAAAATTTTACCTGCTTGTAAATACATTTTTAGAATTATTAAGATAGACCACAGGAATAGGAGTTCCCCATACTCTTTGACGAGATATACACCAATAAGGTCGCTGTTTAATTTGTTTCAATAAAACATTTATAGAAGTTTGCCTTCTCGATTCTGGATATATTTGTAAATTCTGTATACTTTCCTGATTAAAAAAAAAACAATAAGAGGAAATTATTTAAAAATCCTACTAATTTTTTTTCAATTAATTAATATTATTAAATTATCTTTGTATACTTACAGCTGCTTTTTCCTTTAGAGCATCTGTATCTATGAACCATTGATGACTCGCTCGTGTAATAATGGGTTTTTTCGTTCTCCAATCGTAAGGATAACTGTGTACCAAAATTTCCGTATGCAATACATCTTTGCTTAAATGATCTAAAACAATATTTGTGCCATCTTTCAACACTTCTTTTCCAGTAAATTGAGAACCAGCCTCATCTGTATAACATCCTTCTTCATTTACTACTGATAACTAATTTAAAGGGGAAAAAAAAATCATTTCAATTATTTCTAGCCATTTTAGAGAAAATTAAATTATTTAACACTCACTACTGGAATTTTATGTTCCAAAGCAACACAAAAATCTTCAGAACCATGAGCTGGCGCTGTGTGAACTAATCCAGTTCCAACAAGAGTATTTACATGACTCGCTGCTAAAAATGGTAATGAAATACCGCTAATTGGTTGCAAATATTTTGCACCATTCAGTTCACTTCCTATATAAAAAAAAGATCATTTTTTTTTCATTCAAATAATTAATTATTGAAACAAATTTATAAGATTTAATTAAATTAAACAAATAAAATTACCTTTTATTGTTTTTAGAGGATTTAAATAGCCAATTTTTTCCGTAACATGACACAATAAATCTTGTGCAATAAGATATAAATCACCGTCAGATTTTTTAGCAATACAATAAATAGCATCAGATGAAAATGCAAGAGCCTGGTTTGCCACAAGTGTCCATGGTGTTGTTGTCCATGTGAGAGCGTAAATATTTTTTTCTTTAAATTCAGATAATGATGGTGGTAATTCAACAATTTTTAAACGTACAGTTGCACATTTACTTTCATGTTTATCATTATATTCCAATTCTGATTCAGCTAATGCTGTTCTAAAAAAAGTATTAAAAATTAACTTTCTATTTAAACTTTTTAATTCTAAATGCCAATAATAAATAAAAAATGCCAATACAGTTAATTATTAAAATTTATTTTTATAAACAATAAACAGACCTTGAAGATGGTGACCAATGAACGGGTTTAAAATCACGATAAATCAATTTTTTCTCATATAAATTTATAAATTGTCGTAATTCATTTGTTAGAAATGAAGTACTATTGGTAAAATAACAACCAGATTTTTTCCAATCGGCAACAACACCCCATGAGGCAAAAGCATCCTTTTGTTTTTTTATTGCTTCCTTGGCATATTTTTTTGCTGCGGAAAATTTAAAAAAAAAATAATAAGCTGAAATCGTAGTTTTTTTTTTTAATAATAAAATTGTAGTACCATGATGACGAATTTGAAGAGGTGTCAAATCTTTTTCCTTGGTTTTTAATTCAGTTAAAGCTTTTAATTCAATTGGCAAACCATGACAATCCCATCCTGGAACGTAATGTACTCTTTGTCCTTTTATTATTTTACTTCGAAGTGTAATATCTTTCAAAATCTGCAAGATTTATATTTTCATAAAATTAATTTTGTATAGTAGTATTTTAATTAAGTACTTGTATATCTCACTTTATTTATTGCATGACCCATATGTGGATTTCCATTGGCATAAGGTGGTCCATCATGTAGAACAAAATCTGGACCTGTTAAATTTGCTCGTTGCCAGTTGTACAATTCAAAAAAACCACATTTCTGAAATGAAAATATAATATAATAATTGAAAATTCAATGAAAACAAAATAATAGACATACTCTTCTATTATAAATGTTTATATTGATATATTTTTTATTTTAATCTTAAATTAAAAGTAATGGAAATATTAATTGATTTTCTGTCTACTAACTTCTGCTAAATATTCATCCATTTCAATTCTTTTCTCGTCACTGAATTTAAGTGGAAATTTTGTTTGTGGCAATAAAATTGTATCTTTAAATTGTTTTGTCTGGACATTTTGCTGTGTTCCATAAGAATATCTAAAAAGAATCTTAGCGTGTTTCAAAAATGAAATTTTTCTACTACGAAAAGAATTATAAAAACTTATTGACAACATTTGTAATATAGTCTATAACACTGTTTAATATTTATTAAGTTTAATTTTTCTTTTCACATTATATTTTTTATTATTCACTTAATATTCTAAACTATTTTTTATATTTTCACCATTTGCACAGTAGTAAACAAAGTAATGTATTTATACATTTTTAAATCACTTGTGCTTTTTTCAAAAATAAATGATACCTTTTAATATAAATGCATTTTTGAAATTAAAAACGTAATTAATAATTTTTTATTACTATTATTTTTATATTAAAATGAAAAATACTTTTTTTTTAAATAGAAAGAAAAGAAACAAGACACATTTTCTATTTTTTCACTTTTAGGTTAGGTTTAATTAACGAGCGTCACATTTCGGAGGTTTTATTTCCAAGGTTGCCAACCCTGTTGTCCATTGCCAATTTCACGGAAGTTACGCCGACATAAGGGACATAAGTTTACAACGTTGATGAAAAAAATACAAAAATATTCCAGATTGCATCATTTTTTATAGAAAAACACGAATATCAGGTAAACTATTTTATTTTTATTATTTACTTTTCGTTATCATTGTAAAAATAGTTTTAAAAGAAAAGTTGTTATATTTATAGGTTATAATAATATTATAACCTATAAAGATTTGTATTTTATAATTAAGGGGTTTATGTTTTTTTCCTCCAAAAAAAAGTATGAAGCTCTAGTTAATTAAATTATTGTCTTTAATTTAAATAATTCTAAATAATAACATTCGTTTAATTTTTTAAAGAAAATTTGTGACATCAATATGACGAACGAACTGTCAGAAAAGATTTTAGAATATTTATCAAAATGTGATAAAGTGAATTCTCTTGATTTGTCGAATGTTTTTCAAGAGGATCATCAAAAGGTGATTGGAGCTGTAAAAAGTCTTCAAACAATAGGAAACGTAAGTTTATTTTGTAGTTTAATTAATCTCTAATTTAGCAAAATAAAAACCTTTTTATTTTATTATAGATAATAAATGTTGAGCAAATAAGTACGAAAAAATGGGAACTTACCGAGGAAGGTCAACATGTTTTAAAATTTGGAAGTCATGAAGCTGCAGTTTATAATGCAGTTTCTGAAAATGGTACAGCGCAAGCTGAAATTATGAAAATTGTACCTTTTGCAAAAGTTGGTGTTTCTAAAGCACTCGCGGCTGGATGGATTGAAATTGATAAGAATAATAAATCTTTAATTAAAAAGAAAGTATCATCTATTATTGATGTTGCTCAAAATCATTTGATGAATATCATTGATGTTCCTGATAATGTTAAACAGGACTATAAGAAAAGAAAACTTCTACAACAAATGTATGTTTAATTTTGTTTTTCTTAGATTAAATTTATTGATCTATTTTTAATTTTTTTTTTTTTGTAATTGATTTTCTTTACAGTATAATAAAAAGTGTATTATTGAGTAAAGGTGAATTTTTTTCAACGAAAATTGAAAAACAAGAGGCTGATGTAACTGCTGATTTATTAGTGAATGATGCATGGAAGGAGAAAAAATTCAAGCCCTACAATTTTGATGCTTTGGGCTCAGCTTTAGATATTGGACATCTTCATCCATTGTTAAAAGTTCGTAGTGAATTTAGAAAAATTTTCCTTGAAATGGGGTGAGTAAAATTGCAATTGTTATCTAACTTTTATGCCAATAGTTATCATTTCTTTTTATTTAGTTTATAATCTGAAAAAAAAATTATTTTAGATTTACGGAAATGCCAACGAATAATTATATTGAAAGTTCTTTTTGGAATTTTGATGCTCTTTTTCAACCACAACAACATCCTGCGAGAGATGCTCATGACACATTTTTCATATCTGGTAAATTAGTTTTTTGTAATAAATAAAATATTTATTTAATTATTTCTGTATTTATTTTTTTATTTTTGTAGAACCAAAATTAAGTACCAAGTTTCCGGAAGATTATTTGAAAAAAGTTAAGGAAGTTCACAGTGTTGGCGGTTATGGATCGCAGGGTTATCGTTACGATTGGAAAATAGAGGAAGCACAAAAAAATCTTCTTCGTACACATACAACAGCTGTTAGTGCACGAATGTTACATAAATTAATGTTAAACGGTGAATTTAAGCCAGTAAAATATTTTAGTATTGATCGTGTTTTTCGTAATGAAACTTTAGACGCAACTCATCTTGCTGAATTTCATCAAATCGAAGGTGTTGTAGCCGATTATAATTTATCGTTGGGCGATTTAATTGGTACAATTTATGAATTCTTCCGTAAACTCGGTATCACTCAACTTGAATTTAAACCGGCCTATAATCCATATACAGAGCCGAGTATGGAAATATTTTGTTTTCATAATGGTCTTGGTAAATGGATTGAAATTGGAAATAGTGGAATGTTTAGACCTGAAATGTTACTGCCAATGGGTATTCCCGAAAATGTGAATGTTATCGCCTGGGGTTTGTCACTGGAGAGGTAATGAAAACAATTTAAATATGAATTTTTGTGATATTTTATTATTTTAAATTATCTTTTATTTTTCAGGCCTACGATGATTAAATATGGTTTGAATAATATTCGTGATTTAGTGGGACCAAAAGTTGATTTACAAATGGTTCACGATAATCCTTTCTGCCGATTAGAAAAGTAAATAAGTATTTTAAAAAAATGTTGATTATTCGTTAAAATTTAGATTAAATGTTTTTGATAATAATAAAAATTTTCAAATTTCTATTTTTGGTTTTACTTATAAAAACTTTATTTCGTCTACATTTTCAAAAACTAATATTTCATCTTGACAGAAATGATTCCAGATCAGTGCAAAAGAATGAAAAAGAAAGCGAGGAATTTTTCACTTGTTCTACTCAAGAAAGAATACAAGATAATAGAAAAGAGATGATTATCTTTTGTGATCCAAAATATCCACCGTATTCTTTAGAAACAATAATATCAATTTTAAAGAAGGAATTTACAATTACTGTATCTGTACATTTACATTCGACGATAGAGAAAATTTCTCCTTTACTTGTGAAATTTTGTTCGGAATTTATTGATAATTGTGAAAAAAATGTTGATCTTGCAATTATTGTTATTTGGCGAAATGTGGGTGTAAATCCGCGAATGATTATCACTAGTTCGCATGAAATTGTGGGTGAAATTAATATTGCACGTTTTTTTAATCGTTTAATTGAAAGAAGGAAACCAAATCTTTTAAAATATGAAAGTAATGGTGTAATTTACGCGAATAAAATTGACAATATTCTCGATAGGATTCATCAAATTTTATATAGTTCAAATAAACAAAGTAAATTAAATAGTTTACACGATTTTAACAAAGGACGTTATTTCTTAGGAAATGAAATTTCAATAGCTGATTTAGTTTTTCAATCATTTTGTCGACAAATTCGTGATTAACAATAGACTGTCATTATTTTAATAAATTTTTTTAAATTAAGAAATCAAAATTTTTTTTTATAACCCTTTGATCATTTAAAATAATTAAAAAGAAAATTTACTTTTAACTTTAATTAATTTTAAAATTTATATAATTGATATAAAATGGTAAATTTAATTTATTTTTTGAGACAAAAAAAAACAGCATTATTTTTTGTAAATTCCGTCTTTATTTTCAGTAAACATAATTTAAACCATTCTCCTCAATAGTTCATTAATTTTGTCTTCTCTATTACCGAAGTCACCACCCTCAACATAGTGGTTGGTCTTCTTTCTCCATCCTCCGTTTGGCGTGTTGAGCTGTAAAACAAAATAACACAATATTTTAAGCAAATAGTAATTTTTAATTAATTATTTAAAAAGTTAAAAATTCTTTTTTTCGTATGTAATTTTTTAATTAAATGTGCGAGAAATTCGAAACTTTACGCAAATGAAACGTAGAGCAAAAAAAAAAAAGAATATCTCGTATTACTCTCCAACATAATAGGAAGTAATAGACAATTAAGTATCAATCACAATGCCTATGTTGGTAATATTAAATAATTAAAAAAACTGTTAATATTATTATAATTTTAGAAAAATATTTTACCTTGAATGGCCATAAAAAGTTACTGCAGTACTTGAATTTAGGACCAACAGTGAAAATTTCATGGATCAAATCCTCTGTACAGATAATGTTTGATCGTCCTGAAATAAGAAAATTTTGTTGAATTAATAATAGTCAAAAATATTTACTTTTCATTTAGAAAAAAATAGAAATTAACTAAAATGTATGAATTGTGTCTAACCCAATAGTAAAAAACAAATAGGGTGTTTTTCAAAATTCTATTAATTTTCGACAACATGGAAGGAAATCGTTTAAATAAAATAGACGACTGCCATGGATTTGTCGCATAATTTGCTAAATATATCAATAATAGTAAAAATAGCAATAAATAAAAAAAAAAAAACTCACCCAATTGGCTTTCAATGATGGAATTGGAAGTAATTGGTATTCTTTGACGATTGATTTTTGCAAATCCTCTCTTATAAATCAATTCTCTGACAGATTTCAAATTTGGATATCCCCATGTAATATAAGGATCGACAAGTCTGAGCATGTTAATTGTTGCTTTGTTCAATTTAACAAAGACTCCATTATTGATCTGAAGTAGACGGAAAAGCTTCAGAACCTTACGAACTTTCGGTGCAACTTGATTTACACTAAAATTAAAAAAAAAATTTAATATAAATTATAGTAATTATTAAATAAAAAAAAGGAAGTATAAAATATTTCAATAACTTACCCCCGAATACGCATAACGAAAGCCAAACGAGCCTCACCAGGAATATAATAATTTCCACGGTTTTTAGCTTGTCTCTTGAGCCTGATTTCATCTCGTTCTTTCATTCGATACTCCTTTACATATTGTTCAGCTCGCTTGAAGATTTCCTTACGTTTCTTATAATGCTCTTGACGCTTCTAAAATTAAAAACAAAAAAAATTTTATTAGTAGAGAAAATTTTTAATAACTGTAAAATTATCTTTGAGGGTCATTTCAGAATGGAAATATAACGCAACGCAAATAAAATTTACCTTGATAGAAGTCTGCAAACGTACTGCTTTAGCGGTATCACGTCGCTTTCTTCTCTTCAGTACCGATTCTGGTACAGCGGGCAGCTTTTTAGCCACGGTTTCTTTTTTTCTGTAACACATTTTTTATTATTACAAAAGATCCTTCTAATCTATTCAAGAAATAAAATTATATTGATTTCATTGTCAGAATTGCATTTTTGACAAGTAAAAGGTGTGAAACTGTTTAATCAAAATTTATGTTGTCATTAAAATAACTTTTCGAAATTTATGAAAAATTAGATCCTCTAGGTACACAATTTTAATATCTAAAAAAACTTACACATTTACAAATGTAAACTGTTTTTTTTAAATAAAATTTAACACATGCAACTTTTTAGGTTAGGTTCACTGACAATGTCATTATTGATAATGCTAATAATTTATAATAAACTTGTATAAAATATATATCACGATAAATAAAGAACATTTCGATGAATAAAATATATAGTTTATCAAAACAATTTGTTAGTTAAAATCACACGATGTTAATAGATTTTTCAACAAAATTTTCAGAACTACTTACGCGTCGGCCATCTCTTCGTCCAGAAAGAAAAAACAATTGCTTGAACTTGTCTCTTGTTACAATGTGGCAAACACAAAAAAATTTCCCCTAGAAGACATGTAATGCCGTAAAGTGCATAAAACCATTTTACGCATTTACCGATAAAAAATCATTTGGAGATTATTAACTTTCTTTAATATTAATAAATATTTTGTAAACATTTCAAGTAATTTTAAACATTTTTACAATAAATAATTTAGCTTGTATTTTTTATACAAATTATAGAATTTGAAATACGTTATTTGACGTAAGACTATAATAATTTACGTCATTTACGCATTTTATGTATATGTTTGCGATATAATCGAAAAGTTAGGTTATGTTCGTGGCGTACGCGCAGTTAGGACGTTGAAGTAAAAACTCTTCAAAAATTATTAATTTTATCACGTCATTTAGTGTCATTATTATTTTTATTCATTAAATAAGTTGAATTAAAAATCATTTAAAACAATGGATGACGAAGCAGAGACTTACAAATTATGGAGAATCCGAAAAACAGTGATGCAACTTTGTCACGATAGAGGTTATCTTGTTACTCAGGATGAATTGGATCAAACTTTAGATCAATTTAAAGAACAATTTGGTGATAAACCAAGTGAAAAAAGACCGTCTCGAAGCGATTTAATTGTTCTTGTTGCTCACAATGATGATCCAACAGATCAATTGTTTGTATTTTTCCCAGAAGAACCAAAAATTGGAATCAAAACTATCAAGACTTATTGTCAAAGAATGCAGGACGAAAAAATTCACAGGTAAATTGAATATTTTACATTATATAAAAGATTGTCAATATTTTTAATATCTTAATTTTCAATAATTTGATTTTATTTTTATTGCAGAGCAATTATTGTCGTTCAACAAGGAATGACACCATCTGCAAAACAATCATTAGTTGATATGGCTCCAAAATATATTTTGGAAAATTTTCTAGAATCAGAACTTTTAATTAATATTACCGAGCATGAATTGGTTCCTGAACACATTGTCTTGACACCTGACGAGAAGGAGGAACTTTTGAGTAGATATAAATTGAAAGAAAATCAATTGATGCGAATTCAAGCCAGTGATCCTGTTGCCCGATATTTTGGCCTTAAACGTGGACAAGTTGTCAAGATTATTCGACCATCAGAAACTGCAGGACGTTATATTTCGTATAGGCTAGTTTGTTAATATATATATATATTTTTATTTATCCCATTTTTAATTTTGATAAATACATAATATAAATGTTAAGTACTTTAATGTGAATAAAAATACATTTTTCATTATATTTTATTTTTTGTTTTTGACTAGGTATTAAAATACTGAATTCACAAATTTTTTTTATAACATTTTTTAAAACGGAAAATTTAAAGAAAATGAAAACAATAAAAACTCAAATGCAAATAATTAGAAATTCATTTTTTTCTTTTTGTTCAAATTAAATATAAAAAATTAATTATTAAATAAGCTCAAAAAAAAATGGCAACAATTAGAAAAAGGTAAAAAATAACAAAAGCAATAAGATATACAATTAATATAATATATTGTTAATAATAAAATGTAACATAACACAATAAAAATTAATAATAATAATAATAATAATAATTACATAATAGTTTTGTTCATTAGGAACGTAATGTGAGCGGAGAGTTTGTCAAAAAAAAAAAAGTATACAAAATAATTTTTTTTTCCATCAATAATGTACAAGCTAAAAACGTTGCCGGAAAATTATACAACTTTCTTTATATTCTGTAAATGATAATAATCTTTACACAAGAATAGAAAAAAAAACAGTTCTAACAGTGATAATTAAAAAAAAAAAAAAAGTATCTTAGTCGTACTGGCTAAATTAAAACTGATCGGACAGAAGCTACATTGATGTTTGAGATCTAGTGCCGTAGGTACTATTTCGTAAATCCCAAGTTCCGATAATGTGCTTTGTATACAATTATGTACGAATAAAATCAGTCAATTTCTGTTTGATAATCCGTATAAGATTACTAAGGTAATTTTTTTTTATATTCTCTTTTTATATTAATTCCTTCTATTTTCTTTTTACGCCATGCAACTGGAAGAATCACTTTCACAATACAAAAAAAAAAAAAATGCTTCAAATATTCGCGAATGAACACGATTTGTTTCCTTTTTTTTAACGAGGCTTATTTTTAAACTCCAGAGCTGTTATCGATCTGGTATCTCTATATAGAAAAAAAGTAGCTCGAAAAAAAAAAATTCCAAGAAAAGTGCTGCTTTGTCTATATAAGTAGTACTGCATTTATCCATTGTGCAATTTGTCAATTTGCAATATAATCGCTGTAAAGATATAATTTCTACAATACAGGAACACATAATTAATGTGCACCCAATGTCGAAGAATAACGCGTTTCAATACTATTATTATTTATATATTTATATATATATATATACGTAGTTCCTTTATTCGTGGGAAATCAGCTTTTAGGCCCGTTAACTGCGCTCGATGGTATTTCGAGTGAAAAAAAATGTTTAATTCTCAGCATTATTTATTTTATATATATATATATATATATAGTTTTCGAAACTTATTTTGTATTTTTATTTTAAAAAATGCTGAGTAAATTTAATATAAAAAAAAAATTACGCCCCCTCGAACGCAGTCGACATGTTCGCGTAGGTCCCATTCGTCGAGTAGCTGTATCGAAAAAGTTACAAATTCGTTTGCAATCCCAAGTGCCTTGGCGAGCGTGATAAATTGGTACAATATATGGCTGATGAAAAGCTTACACACGTTTACAATTAGCTTGCGACTTAACATCCATTGACGAACAACATTTTCTTCTTTTTTTTTAGTTACGTTTATCATAACGTAATTTTTAACCACGTTTTTCAGCACCGCATATATTTTGATTTAGTCGAGAACTCATTTTCTCCCTTTTTTTTCTTGAGAATAAAAAAAAAAAAAAGTAAATTTTATTTCCGGTCTAACTTTCAAGAATTTTTATTTCTAAAAGGGAAGAATAATTTGTGATAAAGTAATCGACACTTTTTAATGTCACTGCAGTTTCATTCTGCGATTTGCGACAAATTTTTCGTTTATCAAGTGGTTTCTTTTTTTTTTTTTTTTTTTTTGTTTGATTGGGCTTAAAAGTTGCTAAGCCGCCGATTAAGGAAAATTTCTGACTATACCCTGTTTTTTTTTCAGAGTTAGAAAACTTTACGCTTCGACCACCAATACATTCTGGTAGCCCATTCAATGGCTGGTGTTTGCAAAATGCTGTTGATTAATTCCGCGGTAAGCCTGATCCGGTATGTGATGGTTGTCGGATATGATGGCGCTTGACGCCTTGCATGCCTTCTGTGCGAGGTCTAAAGAATCAAAAAAAAAAAAAATTATTCACTATAATAAAAAATAAGTAAATTTCAGAATTATTTGAAAATGCTAAAAAAAAAACCTATAATTTGACAAAATATCTTTAGAATAATAGAGATTAACAATAGATAAATATAGATACAAACCTAGGAGTGATATGGAGTTACGTAGGTGGACGGAAACAACCCTCGCCGATTACCAATCTCTCCATGCCACCAATGTTGATCCGTGCGGTCTGTAACTGTAATCACATCTCCTCGTCTAAATTCCAGTTCTCCAGGCTCTTGTGGTGTAAAATCGTATAAAGCTTGCACAAGACACTAAAAAAAAATTCAAATTTTAATCCTATTAATCTATAAAAAATTAAATAACAATACCATAAATATTAAATATTCAATTATCAAATAAGTAACAAATTATTCATTATAATTAATTATTTAAATAATTATCAAATACAAAATTAAAAATTAAATAACGAAGTCTCAAATTATATTACTTATCGCAAAAAAAAAAAATTAATTTTCAATTGGCAAAACTTTGAATGTCTTTCAATAATAATAATTGAAAGAAGACATTCTCAAATCAACAATCAAGTCATTCATCAAAGATAATTAACGGCTTTAAACACACGTAACACTATCTCTATATCTTTGACCAATGATTGAGAGAAATGCATGTCACGTGATACAAGGTCAAGTCGCAGTTTAGTAATTATATTATATTGAAGTGCTGGGAACTCAGCGAATATATAAGAATGATAGATATGTATATATAAGAAAAGAAACATACCTCTTCTGGTACCATATCACGTAATTTAACATCCTGAGAGCGAGAAACAGATGCTGTACGATGATATTCCACTAATTCATTCAGGCTATTAAATTTAACCACCCACAAGAAAAATTTTCCCTGTGCGTCCCGCAATACTTTAAAATGTTGAACACCATCTGAACATCTGTAAGGAAAAAATTTGTTGATAATAATTAAAAGCTTTTTAATTATTATTTATTTTAATTTAACACTTTATTTTCCATAATAGTGATTTAAAAAAAAAAATTATACATCTATTTATTTCCTTTACGTTCACAAAAATATATTTTGTTATTTAATAAGATTTATTACTATTAAACAGAATAAATAATAAAAAAAAAATAATGCGATCAATAGTATTACAAAATTGACGAAATTACTTACTTGACGGAAAGGGAAAAATCACCAGGAGAGCTTTCGCTAATCCTAATAAGAAAGGCGCCTTCGTGTTTATTCATCAATAGTCTTTCGGCATCGGCTCTAGTTATTCTACCGTAATACCAGCTAAAAAGAATAAAATTAATTTAGATAAATAATCTTCAAAATAATTAAAAAAAAAAAATTAATTTCAATAATTTTCATTTGCTAACAAAATTACTTACTCGTGGTTTTTCATTTCTATGTAATTGCTGGGAATTAATCCTTCTCTCGAGTCTAATTCTGCCCTGTACCAATTCATATCATCTTCCATATTCAAAATCTGTAAAATAATAAATCAATCATAAATTATAAAATTAAAACAATATTTTCAAATATAAAAAAAAAAAAATGAAAAATAATTGAATTTAAAGATAAGTTATTGAGAATTAAAAGTTTTACAATGATAAGGAGAACAAAGTAAAAATAAACATTTCTAAAGCAAAAAAGTATAACATAATTAAATTTATATTTATCAAGACATAAATAGATATGGAATAATTTCTCAAGAGACCTTTCACTAAAGTCTATTATGTATTCGACATTTTTCCATTGACACTAAAATAGATTTAAAAATAATTACTTAAGATTATAAAAAGAATTATTCGAATTATACCAAAAAAAAACATTATTCAAAATTGATCACAATTAAAAAATAAACTGAGTAGAACCGAGTAATATATTTTTACAAAATATATTATTGAAAAGTTCTCTAATTTTTTTTTCTACTGAATAATTATTTTTAGAATGAAGAGTAACCAAAATACATTTCTAAAGTCGACGAACCTCATTTTCATTAGCTACACATATACTTATTGTTATTTGTATAACATTGCAAGCCAAGAAATTGAATGCAAAATAAATGATAATGAAAGAAATTGATGAATTGTAAGCGTGGAAAATTAAGTTTCAATAGCTCTAAAAGCTATTGTTTAATTAAAAATAAACTTTTCATGTTCGACAGGAGTTATAAATGCATAATATCATTTATAAATCCTATCTTTAATTTACAATCACGTTCCAGGAAATTATTCATTGACAGCTCCTTTGATATCAAAGAATAGCTTTCTCAAGAATTAACTAGCTTGTTACACTAACTTGAATGTAATACAAAATATTATTGTAACATTGTTATTATTCTAGTAAATTATTTATTTATCATATTATTTTTATAGATTACTACTTTATTATTAAATAAAACAATTGTAATTAATTATACAAAACAATTATTTTGTAGTTACAAAATGGAGGGCCTGATTATGTATATTTCCTCCATTATAAAATCGAAAATACAAACATTTCTAAAAATGAGTTTCACTTCAAAAAAATAAATTTTTAGGTATAACTTTTAATAGAAATTATAACACCGAATGAAAAAAAAAAAACTTAAAATGAAAAAGATACTTTGCATGTTGCATAAACTTGACCTAGTCTTACAAAGTCGTAAAAACTTTCCTGGGAATTAAAATTGATGAATTAATCATCATTAAGAAGTTTATCAAACTAGCCAAGTATGCATAATAGTTGATCTTATAAAAAGTATAGTAATATGATCATATGTTAGACAAATAAGGAAACAGGTGTTTATAAAACTCTTATCGTCCATAAAAACAAGACAATCATTGACATTTTTGAACTCAACTATTTCAATGTTTTATACTCAATAAAAATTGTCAAAAATAATAACAATTTTTCTAAAAACATCAATATCAAGGACTGATATTTTATAATAGAAGCCTTAGAAAGTTCGGGATCTCGTCAGGGCGACGAACCCACGGAAAAAAACAAGCTTCTCAAATGGGGTCATCGATTTGAGTTTAATTACATCCCCTGAGAGTAAATAGATTGCTCATTTTTAGAAAATATGTAAAGTAATTTTTTTATTTTGCAAAATAAAGTACCTTGAGAACTTGACTCCTACGAAAGCTGAGTTCGTCTTCAGCAGTCGCTGAGAAGTCGTGTTTCGCTACCGCCTCCATTCTTCTGCCCCGAGAACGAGTGAAAGAGGGAGTGAGACAGTTCAAAGAGAACAGGAAACCAATTGATCACAAAATGTCACAGACGCCGCACCATAGCACTTTTCTTTAATTGAACGAAAGTCTTAATAAATTCCGGTTCAAGTTTTCACTATACACTTTTCACACTTTTTAGAGAGTTCTTACAATCAGCTCTCCAGTAAAGGAGATGAATGGAGAGCGAGAATGAGAAAGAGACGAAATGACAGAAGGTGTGAGGGAGAAAGAGAAAGGACACGTAGCTTTAGTCAAGAGAAACAACTGGATTTTCTTTGGCACTTATTTTTTTCCAGTTAATAAGCTTTTCTTGATTAACACTTTTCAACAAACAAAATCACTCACTCATTATATAAACAACTCGTTAATGTTTATTTCCAATGAACTTAAACTGTCAGGCTCCAAAATAATTTACGCAATCTCCAGAGTGCCCATCGCTACAACACAGCTATCTATCTCTCTCTTGTCTGACTCACTTTCATTACTGCGCAGATAGGTTAGCGCACCTTTGAGGAGCAATGAATCATGGGAAATTCCCAATCAGGAAATAGGAAATACTTTAAACAATAAAAATTTAAATTTTTCTTGATTTTTTAAGTTAATTAAAGTAGTTTCAGTAATTATAAGTTGTTCCCAAATTTCAAAAATGACAATTAACATTGGGATTTAATTTTCGGAAAAATTTAATAATTTGCTGCGCATGCGTGAGAAATTGAACGTGACAACAGGGATGAGAAGGTCGAATTTTTATTTCTATTAACAATCATTTACCAGGGTGTTTTACATTAGCAGACGCTTTTTTCTAACAAAAGGTAAACTTGTCAAATCTTTTTAATTACTTTAAAAGAATAATTCATTCTAATATCATTAAAAATAACGAAATATATTTAGCTGAAAATTTGATAAATTGTTTATCTAGTTAGCTTAAACTAAAAAATAGATCTTTGAATTTATCCTTATTAGTTATTATCGAAGTTTGACAGCTTCGTTTTGTCGTCTGCTAAAGCTTCATGCGGGTGTATGTAAGTAAACAATAAATTAATTGTCGAGTTGGCAAACATTATTCTAAAATAGAAGTTAGAGAAGTAAGTAATTTGACATTAGTTCTACTTTTGTTTTTTAGATATTATAACCTAACGTGAAGTAATAATTAGAAGCAACAAGTGTTTTTATAGGTTATTTTCTCTTTTTGGTACCGTGTAAATAAAACAATTTATTAAAGTTTTAATTAAGTTTAACAAATTTGATTGTTGTTATTTAATTAATTGTTATTTTATCGTGTTTTTAAACTTATTTTCTTAATCAACAATAACAGAATAATGTTTTTTGTAGAAAATTAAAATATACTGTAAATTATATATTTTATACTCCAAAATTATTATTTTTAATACATTTTTTCAGAAACCATGACTTGTAAAACAAAAATATCATAAAGTGGTATAATCAAATAATAATTTAAAAAAAAAAAAAATAAAAATATGGAAAACCAGGCCCTAACGTACGAATATTTCTACATTATCTTTGTTGTTTCTTTTTATTGGTAAGTAAATTTTTGTTATGATTTATTAGACATTAAGAAAAGAATTTCTAAAAAATTTTGATAAAATTTATTTTTCAGGATAGTTTCTATTTTTACAGTGTTTATCAATAAAGCTCTACTATCAAGTCAATCAGTAAATTTAAATGCTCCTCTTTTTGTAACGTGGTTTCAATGTATAGTGAGTGTTATTTTATGTTTAATTCTCAAAGGCTGTGCTGCATTATTTCCAAATTATATTTATTTTCCCAAAGGGCAACCTTTTCAATTGAATATCGCTAAAAAGGTACTTGATTTATTTTCATCTTTATTAATCCAGTTATAACAGTATTGCAATGATTTAAATTATTATTATTATTATTATTATTAATGATTTAATTTTAATTCACAGATTTTACCTTTATCCATTCTCTTTACTGGAATGATAGCATGTAATAATTTATGTTTGAAATATGTGGGTGTTGCGTTTTATTATATAGGACGATCTCTAACCACAGTATTTAATGTTATCTTCACTTTCACTATTCTCGGTAAGGAAATATAACAATATTAATATTAATGAACGAATTGATTTAATTTAAAAATTATGAATTATTGATTAACAGGCGAGAGAACATCTTCAGGAGCCGTTGTTTGTTGTTTAATAATTGTTTTTGGATTTTGGCTTGGTGTCGATCAAGAGAGTATAGCTGGTTCTTTATCAATAATTGGAACTGTTTTCGGCGTTCTTGGCTCATTGACACTTTCTTTATATTCCATTCATACAAAACAAGTTCTTCCAATTGTAAATCAAGAAATTTGGCTACTTTCCTATTATAACAATGCCTACAGTATAATTATTTTTATTCCTTTGATACTCATTAATGGGGAATTCAATGAAATAATGAAATATGAAAAATTTAATGAACCATTCTTTTGGGGAATTATGATTGTTGGAGGAATTTGTGGATTTTCTATTGGATATGTTACGATGCTTCAAATAAAAGTAACATCACCATTGACGCATAATATCAGTGGAACTGCAAAAGCATGTGTACAAACGGTACTCGCAACTTATTGTTACAATGAAAGTAAACCAAGTTTATGGTGGGTGAGTAATTTTGTCGTATTGTTTGGTAGTGCAGCTTATGCACGTATTAAACAACTAAAAATGGAAGAAGAACACAAAAAGTACACGTTACTTGATGTGAAATCGAAAATTTAGTATATTTCAAAAAAGACATCATAAGACTGAATTGTAAAAAGAAAAAATTGTTAATTAATTTTTTTTTTGTTGCGTATATTAGATTTTTTTTTTAACTTTTTCGAAGATTTTTTTTCAAATAAAAAAACTTTATAAGAACTATAAATTTTGAGAGTTATTTTTAATTTAAATAATTAATAAAGCATTTTTATTTATTATTTTTTTTTTTTGAAACGTAAAAGGCACGTTTATTATAGGAAAAATAAGTAAAAAATTTACAAAAAATTACAGCTAATAAATACAGTTTAACAGTGTGTTTTAAGTACACAATAGATTTTTGTAAATATTCTAAATGTCCCATTAGTCTGTAATGTTTTTCCAAGAAACATTGATTTAAAAAAACTTCATTTACAAAATGAATTTGATTTTTAAAAACGTGAAGCCAAACCTTCTCCCCTACTATCTGAATGACTTGATATTGTATTTCCTCTTTTTGTAATCATATTTATGCTCTTCAATATAGAATTTCCATTAACACGTGATGAGTTAATAATATTTAAATTTTTTGTAACTGCCGTATCAATGGCAAAAGTGCTATCAGGTTCAACCGTTACACCGTCAGGTAATAAATAATATCTGAAACAATAATTCATAATTGTGAATGAAAAAAAAAATAATAGAATTCCTCTTTTGTGAATAAATTTAATAAAATGCGAATTTTAAGAGACATTTTCACATATACCTTGCAGATTCTATTGTCGTTGACAGATTCATTCCACGTGCAAGGTAATTATAAAGAATTTGTCCAGTGACAATAGGATCATCTGAATTAAACGAACCACTTAATCCACAATTAGGAACATTGTCATGAAACAATATTGGAGTTAAAGTCATTAATTCGTCAACATCGTCAACAGTATCCAGAAAAAATCCGATATCCAAAAATAAAGACAGGTTTAACGGTTTGTTTAAACCTCTAAAAATATAGTTATTTTAATTGAAATTAATGCATCATTAAATAATAATAATAAATATATACTTACGTTACAATTGATACATAAGTATCTTGCCAATCAATTGCTACGACGCCAGTGTATTTACGTTGCGATACTATTGAAAAATAACAAAAAAAAATTAATTCCTTAAATCTATCTCTTTTCACAAACACTTAAATAAAGAAATTACATTTTGCAAAGCTAAATAAAAATATTCGTAAAGATAATGAACTAATTCTCTAATTTACCAGATTAGAAAAATTATTTTAAAATTAATTTTAAAAATAACTAACTATTTAAATCTTGACTGATGAGATTTCCATTAATGAGAGTATCGGCGACTTGTTTTTGTGTCTCAATCGTGGATGCATTAATTTTCTGGATGTGGAGTTTGTCTAAATCTCTCAAGGATAATTCTAAAAGATTTTCATGAGGTGGATAAAATATTGTGTGTTCAAAGAGCATTATTTTATTTGCTGTATATTCTTGTGGTTTGTAATTTGCCAAATCATTTAAAAGTGCCTCGTCGGTGCCAATTTTCTGAGTAATACTAATTGACAATGAACCATTGTAAATGACTGCAAAAGCCAAAAAAAAAAAATAAATTAATAAAAAACAACAGCTAATAAAGAAAAAAAAATATACAAACACAATAAAGTAACGAATACAATAATAAAAATAGCGAATAAAGAAAAGCAAAGTCGAAAAATCTAAAAATTTAAATAATTTATGAGTTATTAAAAACAAACCATCAGCACCATGTTGAGCGATTATTTCTAAAGTATTAGCAAGATTTTTCATTGCAAAAGTTTCCCCACCATAAATTGGTTTAAATATTTTTTCATAATCAGTTTGTTTTGATATTTCATTAGCAAATTCCCTCGAAACTATAAAACCATTTCTAGCCAATGCAATTGAAGGTTCAATTAGTTCTTGCCATGATAATTTACCCCGCAATGCTTGTTGTATTTCTAAGGCTCTTAATAATCCCGGTATTCTCGTATTAGCTTTTCCAAATTGTCCTAAAAAATTTAAAAAAATTTCTTATTATTTTTTCTTGTTTAAATTTTTATATTAATAACAAAAATTAATTGTCAAACCATCAACAGTGTTTTTCACAAAATCAACAATAACAGGAGTTTCTTGAACCCTTTGATTGTAAATCATCATAAATCCTCCTCTAAAAAACAAATTGTTACCACATAAATAATATCTAATTATCGTATACAATTTAAAAAAAAAATTAATGAAAAATTATTCTTCCCATACCCGCCAAGACCCGTTATATGTGGCGCAACGACAGTCATACAAATAGTGGCAGCAATTGCAGCATCTATTGAATTACCCCCTTTTCTGAGTATTTTTGTTCCAATTTGAGAGCAATTTGTATAATCTGAAGCAACAGCTCCATGAACTATTGTACCCTGAAAAAAAATTGTAAAATGTAATTTATTAATTTTTTGAAAAAAGTTTTTAAACAAAATTGAATAACACATTTTATTTTTTAAACTTACCTGTGGAATATTATCACCATATCTCAATTGTAAAATTAATGCCGCTGTAATTGCAACGGTTAAAATAAAAAAACAACAACAAATTATTCCAAATCCACTTTTTGAACATTTACAACTGCAACATTTATCACTCCTTTCTTTTGTCAATGGATCTTCTTCAGTTGGCGGTTCTTAAAAGTAAACAATTACAATTAACTTAAATATTTTTTATTACACAATATGAATGACTGAAAACATTCTTGGATTTCTTTTATCGTCAATTAACATTTAAAAATTATATTTAAAGATAAAAAAAAAGTTTCAACAAAGTTTCAAGTATAAAATAAATAAAAATAACCTGTAATATTATAAATTGAATGAGGATTTACATCATAAATATCATCATTTGATTGACTTTCATTGCTTTCATAGTTCATATTTCGAAATCGTTGTTCTAATTTCTGATACGAAGGAGTATCCATTATTATTTTAATATTATACTATTAAAAAAAAAATAATAGCAAATCTTTTATAAAAAATAAAATGATTTAAACACACATATAAACATAACCTATTATATTTTTTTTGACAAATTCTATAAAAAATTATTTCTTGTGATTAAAAAGTAATATCAAATTAAAACAATTGATGAGAATAACAATTGCAATTCTAATTGTTATGAAAAATATAGAAAATTTATTATGACAAAAGAATAATTGAAACAATGTAAATATGTTTCTTTAATGAATGATTATAAATAAAATTTATACATACGTCTAATGATAAAATGCATCTTATTTTTTTGATTTTCTATTTAAAATTGTAAAAAAAATGATATAAAAACTAATAAACTAAAAGTAGAACATTATATTTTTTGACATTTAATTTTGACAGCTCAAAACCAAAGGCACGTGTGTCAGTTAGTTCGAATTTTTGCCATTAGAGGCGCTAAAAACAATTTCCCGGATAAATTCAAAAATCAAAAATGAATTATCATTTAAAAATTAATTAATAACAAAATAATATTATAATATTTTTTTTATAAATGTTAACAATCTTCTTAACTTTCATTCATGTGTCAAGACACAAAGTTTATTTATTTAAAAAAAAATTTTCAAAAAGAGATTTCTATATTTCCTATATTTATGCAGTTTCATAGTTGATGATCAGCTGATGTAGTGATCACCACGTGTTTGTTTTTGTTTTTCATTAAAATATTAATTTTTTGTATATATATTCTAATATAATAAAGTTAATAGGTGCCAATTAACAACGATAATATCAAGAAACAATATTAAGTAAGTAAAAATTAGTAATAACAATATTTTTATATGGAACATAATTTTTAGGTTATCTTTTTGTATAAGATTTTTGTTTTGTAAACAAAAACAATATTTATATTATGCAACAAAATTTTTAGTTACTCTTAGTTAATAATGTACTTTAAAAAATTTAATGATTAGACTTGATATTTTTTAGTGTTTTACATTTTTAAAGGTCAAAAGTATAAACAATAAGAAGCAATTTTGGAGGGATAAGTTGAAAAATGGAAGACAATTATGAAATTGAAACGGGCATTAATTTGACGCCAAATTTATATCCCAGTAAGTTTATTTCTCACTCTTTGTAATAAATACTAATTTAATGACTTAAAGATAAAGAAAATATAACTTTTTTTAGATTTCAAAAAACGATCACAAGGAAAAAAGTTACCCATCTTTTCTGATTTTGAAAAGATTTCTAGTTCTAGAACTCCTGTTAAAAATAATCTAAAGAAACCACTTGTTATTCAAACTGTTTCAAATTCTGACGAAGAATCTGTTGAATTTATCTCGCAAAATAGTGAAAATGAAATTCAAATTCCGTCCAATTTTTCTGAAAATAACAAAAGCTTTGGTATGTAAAATAATTTGCAAAAATTTACCATTATTTTATAAAGAAATTTAAAATAAATAATTATATTTTGTTTCTAGAAAATTCGTATATATTTGAAAGAACAAACATTTCTGAATTAAGTATAAATGATTCTGAAAATATTTCTTATGACAATGAACAATCAACACATGAAATTTATCAAGAGAAAATGGAAATGGACAATATACCTCAGTTTTATTGTTTAAAAAATAAAGTTGTTGTTATTATGAAACCTAATACAACATTTTGGTTCTGTGGAAAATTGAAAGTACAAATTTTATATGGCGCAATTAAAATTTATGGAGCAGTTTTAAATACATTGAAAACTTTTGAAGTTTATTCGCCAAGAAGTCATAGTTTACTTAGTATTGAACAAGAAATTGATACATTAAATTGTGATAAGGAAAAATTATGGCAAACACTTGTTGCCGAAGGTGTGGATCGAAATCTCGAAAGTTCTTTGGTATTAATTATTAATCAATGTCAACCTGAATGGACCGTTGTTTTAATGGAAAACTTGACAAATCACTTGACAACTTTTCTCAATACCTATTGTTCCTTTAAATTATTTCCAAGAATTGAAGATCAAACATTTTATTCGTGGAACGATTTAAAAAGAGCTGAATTAACTCTACAAACTAATTTACGTTTTAATAACATAGGAAAACAATTAGTTATAAATCCCGAATGGAAAATAAAAATAGTTGACAATATTATAAATGAGTTTCATGATAAACAACAATCGATAAATCTTATATTTGGTGGAAAATCTGTTGGCAAATCAACTTTTTCAAAATATCTCGCAAATACTATTCTTCAAGAAATGAATAATGTTATTTTTGTCAATTTAGATCCTGGACAAACTGAATGCACACCATCGGGTTGTATTTCTTTAAATTTAATTGACACACCATTTTTAGGACCAAATTTCACACAATTGAGAACTCCATATTATCAGATATACATTGGTGATATAAATGTGGCAAATTGTGTGACACGTTATTTAGAAGCTGTGAAAATGTTAGTAAATCGATTGAAAAATGATTCGAAAATTTCTCAACTTCCTGTAATTATCAATACAATGGGATTTTGTAAAGGAATTGGTTGGGATATTGCACTTTGTATAATACGCATTTTTCAACCCACCAATGTTATACAAATTATGTCAAAAAAGGCGAGAAATAATTTCGAAAATTATCTCACCAAAGATGCTGCTATTCAACAGGTAAATTTTTCACTTATTTATTTAGAGTATAATTTATATTATATTTATTTAAAGTTGAATTAATTTTTGTAATTTAATTTAGAAATTGTCTTGGACTATTCATGAATCTGACAATTACGATGAATTATCTTACAAATTTCATCAAATAAATTCAGAAGCTGAAATTCATGGAAATGGTGAAACTTTTAATTTGGAACCCTATCAAAAAAGAGATCTTGTTATGCTTGCATACCTTAGTCAAATAACTAGAGGAAAACAACCAATTAAGTATGATTTATTTTTATATTTTTGATTATTTATTTTCCTTTATTTTTTCAGTAATATTTGTTTTTTTTTATAAATTTCAGATCATTGAAAAATACAATACCGAGTATAAACGATATTACTCCGTACAAGTGAGTATTAATTTATTTATCATTAATAAATGTAAATAATCTTAATTTTTAATAATAACTTTTTTTTTCAATTTTATGCAATTAAACAATTTTTTGACACTATATAAACTGTAAAATAATTAATATTATGTTTTTTTATTTTGTAATTTTAACTTTTACATAGTTTAAATACTTTTCTTTTTTTGACAGAGGGCCTTTATCATCACTTTACTTGTCACTCACACAAACTGGAGTTCCATTGACACATGTACTTGCAGCTATGAATGGAAATATAGTGGCTCTTTGTGGATATGATCCATCTGCTGAATCCAATAATTTAGCCACTCATTCAAAATCCGAAAATTCCCATGTCTTGATTAGAACACCACTAACTACCTGTTATGGATTTGGTAAAAATTCTTTTTTTAATAATAATAATTACTAAAAATCTTATTAATCTTAAAAAAAATTAACATTCTTAATTTTTTAAAACTTTAATTTATAAAAATTTGAAATTTTTAATTATTTTATAGAAATTTAGTGAATTTCATTTATTTTAGGAATTATTCGAGGAATTGATATGGAACAAAAGATCCTATATATCAATACACCTTTGGAATTTACAGAATTAAAACAAGTCAATTGCTTGGTGGACTGTTTGCCAATTCCAACAGCATTGTTGCCACTAAATTTGCCAAATGCACCATACATGGGTAATAAAGCTGATTTACCAACGAGTAAAGAACATCGTAGAGGATTCTTCAGAATAAGAAATAAAACAACGCGGGACTAGTGAATAAAGTTTTAATTACATGTTGATAAAATTAAACTTTTTTTTTCACGTAAGTAGTTTTTCATTCTATTAAAAAGTATTTACATTGAAAATATTTTTTTCTACCTTATATAATTAGAGTATTTTTTTAATTTTAAAGTTATAAAATTACGACCATTAATTTGAACAATTTGTAATTGTTCTTCAAAGTGTACAATATTATTTTGTCTTCACATCAAGTGTTGATAGAAATAAAATTATGTGATACATAAAAAATATTTTTTGAAAAATAATTAATAACGACGAAATTATCTATCGATGAATAATTAATTTATTCCTAATTCATAGAGTCAAAGACATATTTTTGGCTAAAGTACATTTTTTTTAAAGTTGTTGGCTTATAACTTTTTTTTTTTTTTTTTTCTTAATGATCGTCACTCTCAACATTTAATTAAAAAATAATTTTTCTCACAATTCGAACAATTATCGAAAAATTGAAGTATTTAAAATTTTCTTTTATTTGCGCGCAAAAAATTAAAAATTCAATCATTTAAACTGGACAAAAAGGATAAAATTTAAAAAATGTTCCCGCCATCTGGTGACCTCTAGTGGATATTTTTTGTACTATACATTTTCCCAACAACTTTTCGCATTTATTTCTTAACAATTGACTTTTGTTTGTGAATTTTAAACTTGTGTTTAATTAAAATTTCAACAATTTCGAATATCTATTAAGTATTTTACGACAATTGTTTGAATTGTGAGACAAATTATTTTAAATGAATCGCACGGACTTCATTATATTCGCAAAGCCGTTACATTTTGAAAACTGCATTTATGATCGCCATTTTTGTCAGTTCACGTGAAAAGTCTTCGACAAAATAATGAAAATTATAATAGTATCAATATATATTGTGTGATGTGAATAAGGAATTATTAAGGTACCACTTTTTTATTTACTAAATTTATGCAATTTCGAAGAATTTATAAACATTTTTTTAAGATTTCGATTGTGTTTAGAGGTTATGTTTTTGTTTATTTTCAATGGAACATTTTGTATATCATTTTAAATATTATTAAAGTTTGGTTTACAATTTCTGACGATGAAAATAATGTTTCTTTAATATTGCTTATTATAAATTTACAATATGAATAGTAAACAATATGATAACCAATTTTTTACGCTTAGTTTTGTAACAATTTTCAATCTATAAAATCATTCAATAACGGACAAAATTGATTAAATTCGGATAAAAAGCAATATAACTTTATTTTCTAATTAATTCTTTAACTAATTTTACAACAAAATTTTGTGTTGAGAAATATTCAATTTTAATATTTTTCTATATATTTAATTTTCCTTAAAATCTGTGTATTACCAAATCGTAACAATAATAATAATAATTAAAATTTATTAATTATTCAAAAAAAAAAATTAAAAATGAATAAAAAAATAAGATTTCATATAAAAAATAAATAATATTGTTACTTGAGAAATTTAGAATTCTTTAAAATAAAAAGAAACTCGAAAAAAAAGAAATTAAATGCATGTATTTTCACATAGTATAGATACGTAAATGCAAGGCTCCTTTGATATCCCACGAGGGAAAAGTATGAATGGCTGATAGTAAATTCTTGTCGCGAATATGCGTTTGGTTGTAACGACTTTAGGCATAAATTGAAAGTTGCCAAGAGGGTTTTACTGAGGGAGGATGCCCCTATCATATGAGGGAGGCCAACACAGATAGTGTATAGGAAACGGGGAGTGGAGGCAGAAAGAGAGTGAGTTGGGCGGGTAGAAAACCGCGAAGCTGGGTCAGTTATACGTTTAGTTTGAGCCAAGCTCCGCAACTGTCTAGATCATTAAACTATTATTATTTTTTCAATCCCCCCCCCCCTTTTTTTTGCTTTTATAATATTGAAGCTTTATACACATACAAATTAAATAACAAAATAAATTATTAATATTTATTTATTTCAGAATTAAAAACAGCGTAACTTTTTCGTTTTTTTAAATTTTACATTTTCTTTCGCAAAAATTAATGGTTTTTCTTTTATTATATATTTTTTGTCAACCAAAATAGAAAGATTAATGAATATATGGAAGATAATATGTAAATATAATGTATATTTGTTATGACATAACATTATTGATGTTCGTTAATACTTAAATCTTCAATTTACAAATAAATTTGTTGAAAAAATAAGTAATTATTTTGATTTATATTCATATGCGTGAATAATTATAATAAAAAAAATTCATTATTCAGGCAATATTCATATATGATTAGTATAATCATTAGTGAATAATTGAAATTTAAAAAAAAAAAAAGAAAACAATAGTAATTAATTTTATTAAATAAATAATATTGAATTTAGAACAAATGAAAATTCTATAATCAAAATCTTAAATGCAAAATAAAAGAAAATTTGATCAATTACAAATTTTTAATAAAAATTCGAGTTAAGTTGAGAAAACATTTTTCATTAATGTTTATCTCATTGCAACCAAATCTAAATATATATATACATTATATATTGATAAAATTAGAATAATTTGAAAATACAAATAATATTGAGTAGACAATATTTCTGTGACGTTATGAATGGATGTGTCATATATATTGGTTGATAGTAATACCTGTATATCAACTATTTCAATGTACATCATCTGAAATATCTGGCGAGAAAATATAACTATATGCGCTTGCGTGAAGCGCGTTTTCAAATACGCGCCATCTTTTTTTTTTATTTTTATTTTTTTTTTTATACCCAGTGCTCTCCTTTTACTTTTTCCCAACATATAGCATGGAAAAAGAAAATAATAATAAAATAAATGCAAAAAGAATATTTTTGAGATGATAAAAAATTAGAGACTAGATTTTTATCGAACTTTCAAACTATATATATATAGTTGATTTTGCGCGGTGCTCTTTTGCCATTAACAACAACAACAGATGAAATGGGTGGTATATAACCGCGTATAGAAAACGCGTGGGCGATGAGAGTATCAGTGCAAAAAGAACAAGACGTTATTTATTTCTTTTTTTTTTTGTTCTTATATATATTATTTTATTTTTCAAAAATTTTGAATTAGATAAAAATTTGCCAAATCAATGAAATGGAATAAAATTTGTGAAAAACAATATATGTAGGTCAAAATTTTATTTCCTTTTATTCTGTGGTGGCTTAAATTTTTGGAACTGTATAAGCTTAGATGTTGGTAAGCAGAGAGAATAGAACGAGAGAATAGAGAAAGGAGAATTTGAAACACAGGATAGACCCTCTAACTCGCTGCGCAGCGGATTTTCTTGTATTCTATTGATTTTTCTAAAGCTCAAGTAGTGGGAGTCAGCAGCCAGTCTCGACATCATATATATATATATATATATATATATATATATATATATATATATATATATATATATATATATATATATATATATATATATATATATAAAATATATATATAGGTTTGAACTAAAATTGCTCTTTCTCTCTTATCACTATGCTTTGTTATATATTTCTCTCTTTCTCAGTTGAAATGTGTGCGCGCGCGCAAAACACTCACATACATATACATTATCTCACAAACATCTTCAAATACATTTACTCTCTCTGTCTCTCTCTCTCTCTCTCTCTCTCTTGCTTTTGCTTTCCCTCTCTCTCCCTCGGTTACCCTTTTCAACCCTTTTGCCATGCACTGTTACACATACTCTCTTGGTACTGGTTAAAGTCTCTATCTTTTACACAAACACACATGAACCCGTTTGTTCCAACTTGATCCTCTCTCTCTTCTTTCAAGCCAACATCTGTCTTTCTTCTTCCTCTGACCAGTATGCATGTGTAGAAAACAACACCATCGTGACATCAGGAAAGGCTACACGAAGCTTTTCAGGCCCTCTTGGGCCTGAAAATTTACGATTTACTCTTTTATATGTTACTTTTATCGTAACAGATTTTTGTTTCAATTTCTTCTTTTTTTTTTTTTTTTTTTTTTTTAATACAAAAGAAATGAAATTGTCATTTTGATATTAAATATTGTTTTACTTAGACTTTTTTTTATATATAATCAGAATTTTAAAAATTGCAAAATTTTTAGTTTTTCAATTAACGATTTTGAAAAATCGATAATAATCGATTTTCGATAGGATGACATAACCTCGAATGTTTATAAAAAAAATATAGCCAATAATTATTATTTTAAATCATTTCAAGTTTTTTCATGACTTTCATATAATTGATATAGTACATTTAATAGCTTAAATAACATTTTTCCATTATTATGAGCAATATTGTCAGTGTTTTGTTTTATATATTTACAACTGATAAGACGATAACAGTGAGTAAAGTGTCTGCAAAAACAAATATTGTAGACTATGCATGATTCAATCATGTATTGGTTTTGGTATTAAAAATTTTACCAGATACAATTTTTTATTTTAAATTTTGTTCATGAAACAATTAAAAATTATATTTCTGATTAGGTTAAATTGTTTTATGATTAAATTATTGTTAATGTTCTTTCAACTTTTTTTTTTTTTTTTTTTTTTAGAAAAATTTAACAAAAAAAATTTTTTTTTAGCGCAGAAATTTTTAAATTATTTTATTTGTGGTTTAATCGAGTGTTAAATACAACAGCTTGTCACTATGGTTAGTGGATAAAAATGATTTTAGTGTTGTGTAACGTCAAAGTAAAAGTTTCGTTAAAAGATGTTCGCCTTTATTCGTACGATCCTGTATTTCCACCCACTCGTCAAGCGACAGGGTCAGACATGGGCAAACTCACACATTGAAACATCTACTTGCACACATTCTCTTCCTGCAATATTTACGTAAATACGCACACGTTTGAAGTGAACTCACACAAGTACAAAATAATGTGCATGTGCCTAGAGTTCTAGAGAGTAAAGAATTGCTCGGGGAGAACAACAGGGAACAGCCTTGCAGCCAAGTTGGCTGTACATTGTACATGTGCACTATACTGCAATTGCTGGCCGTAGGCTGACGGTGACTAGAGAGAGCGATATATTCTGTGCACAAGACAGCCATATGGGTAGGATATCAAGCGAGAGGTTAGAACATTACGTTGGAGAGAGATGCAGCCAGGGCCAGGTCAGTCAGGCTAGGCTAGGCTGCTGTAATCAGCCGTGAAAGCACAAGCAGGCGCGATTCCGAACTACATAGCCGAGAATCAACGAATTATTCCGATGTTATTCGAAGTTGACGGAAATGCACGAAGTCTTGCCGAGCGAACAAATTCAGCGATACGGGCAAGCAGTGCGGCCGTTTCTGTCGCGGTTAAGTGACTAAGTATATTCAGTTAATGTGCGTGCTTGTTTCTATGAAAGGAAAAAGTGCAAAATTATCATCGTCATCGGATTAACATTAGTCGTTCATGTAAAGAAGAATTGTTGCGTCGTTTGTCATTTGAACGACACTGTGTTTGTCCTTGCCTGAACATTCGTATACGGACGAATGATCAACGACGGGTGTGGTGATCGTTTTGGGACAAGACCGTGTGACTCGAGAGGTTCGTTTGCAGAATCGGATAATATGTACTGATGAGACATCAAAGGTAAGAATTGTGTGTGGCACTGGGAGAGGGTGTTGGCAGAATCAAATTTATTTTTTTTCGAGAGAAAAAATATAATGCACAACCAAGTGCTGTGGAAGTGAAGATTGACTTTCTCAGAGCCGGTGTGGCATCGGTTCGCCGATCGCACCCGGGGCCTATCCGGGCCACAAATGCGTCGCGTGATCACGTCAACTCTTGTGCTTTACAAAACTATGTTAAATTTGTGTCGTTCTCGACATTGGAATTATTGTGATAAATTTTTAAGTGTATAAATTATTGTTAAGCTTAATTTAGTTTAATACACCTCTAGTGACACGTTTCAAGCCCTTGAAAGGACTTTCGTGGAGAAATATGATTTTCATTTGTGAATAGAAGTACATTGCCGTAGCCGTCGGGTCAGGCAACTGTGATCACCTGACAGTTTTTCTTCAAGGTTTCGCGAGTGTATAAGAAGAAAAAGAAAAAAAAACCAAGTTACTATTTGTTTTTACAGTTGAATATAAATAAAAGAACTTATTTTTGAGTGCCATTTAATGAAACACGTTCCTGGGTCATTGGATATAGAGGTTAGACCCAATTTTTGATTTTTATCAAAGTGCCGGTTTATATTTTGTGTTATATATTGGATATATCAACAACATTTGTTGGAAGACGACCTGTTTTGTGTTGAAAACTTTAAAAAGGATATACATAAAGATGCAGGTGGCAACGCTCTTCAGGGAAAGCGCCAATCTACTTGGTGCTTCGAGTTTGGATCCCCCACAAACACACCACCAGACTCTACAACAACAACAGATGCAACAACAATCCGTTGACATGCACATGAATCATCACATGCAACATCATTACAAAATGTAAGTTTTTACATGTTTCGTAAATTTTATTTTCTTTGCATATTTTAATGTGTGTTTTTACAAAAAAAAAAAAATTGATTTTGCTGGATACCTAGAATTTATTATAATTATGTATTACTTATATCCTATGATCAATATTATTAATTAACACTATAATTGTCAATTATTTGGCTTTTATGTGTATTTTTGATGATTTTTAATGATATTTGAGAAAAATATTCTTTAATGTGCTTAAAGGATATTAATTAAGTTTTCAAAATTGAAAATTTAAATTTATTGTATCGTATTATTGATTTAATATAAAAATCTTTCTTTATTATTTCTTTAATTCGGAATTTATTAATTTTGAAATGATTTTTGAAATACAGGTTATGTTGTTAAAAAAAATAATCACATAACAAATGTTGTAGTTTCAAAATTGAAATTATTCTAAATAATTATGCATCACAATTCTATAGATTTTGGTTAATTTCGTTTGTCGTTTTTTTAGTTATACACAATATTCTTTAGATATCACTAGATATTTATTTTCAATTAGTAGTTTTTAGTAAAGAAAAACGTATTCCTATTTAATTTTTAGTAAGTTTTTTTTTCAATTATTGTATTTTGATTTCTTTGTTGCGCTTCTGATTTCTTCAATTTTTGAGTATTTTCTCAATTGATTTTCTTTTCGAGAGAACCTTGACTACTTTTAAGTTCATCAGTGTTGATTTTCCAGAATCATTGCATTGTCATCGGCTTTCTCTTATAGTATATATAGTTGAAGCTATAGCGAATGTACAACTTATTCGATGCGACGGATAGAAACTTGGATTTAGTAAGAATTGAAAAATCTCTTTCAAACGTCCAGTCATCAAAGGCTGATGATGAAATTAACGTTTAATTTAAATATCACAAGAGAAAATTGTTAAATTCTTATATATACAGACACATTTATATATATACTTGAGTGAATGTAGCTTTACGAATATCCTTATCATAAAGTGTACGTGATGTTAAATAGTTAGATATAGCATTTCAAAATAACAATGAGGTACAGGTATAATTATCAACATTTAAAAAAAAAAAATATATATATATATACATGTGACAGAGTGATCGTCATTATTGAAGTAATATTAGGGAAATATATATAACACGCCAAAAGCAATATTATAGGGCAACTATTTGAAATAATTGCATATCGATTAATTACGATGGATTTAAACAAATGTTGCATATAATATACTGCTTCGCAAAATTGTCGAGCATTGTATTAATAATTAATGAAAGCTGATGTGAAAGGTGAAATTTTGAATCTCGTTTATAAAATATACGTTTCTGAAAATTGGAAAAGCTGTCATATGCAAAAGTTGAAGCATATTTAATATAATTTTCTTTTTCTCTATTGTTAATTTTTAATTTACAGTATAAAAAATTCTGACGAATCATGTCGATATATTCAATCCCCTCCCCTCCCCCCCCCCTTGGACGATATATAATATAAAGAATGCCGCAAGGATGTTAATTTTCAATATCGGGCATTTATTTTTTTTCGTATCTCATAAAAGCGATATCAGTCAAATTAAAAGTTTACACGTTTTTGTCGATAATTTAAAAAAAAAAAAAAAATATTCTGTCAAAGAGATATAAATAAACAGTCCTGAGAGACTGAATTAATTCCCGTGGATATTGTATATATATATATATATATATATATATATATATATATATATACAAAGGGGATATTTTGATAAAATATGAAAATTTACCTGAAAATACAGTTTAAATTCAATGGGATATTATATGCATTTTTAATTGCTTTAAAAATGATAATACTCAGGAGGAAATTATGGACAAACTGTTAATATCTGTCATTTAATAATGTTTATACGTAAACAGGTTCGACCTTCAGAGATAAAATATAAATATGCAAGATTACTGACCTCTTTATTATAATCATGTTGAATTTGTATAAAAAAAAATGTGTCAAGTGTAGATACTGTTGTCATTTTTTTTTGATGGCTTTTTTTTCTTTTTAAAAAAAAAAAAAAATGTGTGTATAAGTTTCATTAAAAACCATTATTGAACGGAATGTCGCGAGAGAGAGAGAGAGGGAGAATGAAATATAAAAATGCAAAGGTCCACGTGGTATATAGACATAAATCGTTGTTCTCTGTGAATGAGTCGCGAGCTTATCGATGAGTTTGATCCATCATGAACTAGGCATATACAATCCGCCCTGTAACAACTTCACAGAAATAGGTGCATATACTATATATATATATATATATATATATATATATATATATGTGTACATATATATATGTGTACATATATATACGAACAGGTGTGTCAGTCGTCCAACCAAGTCGTCTCGTGCTCAGGTCTTGAAAAGGGAGTATACACTGATCACTGATTATAGTGAGAGTATAAAAGCACGTTTCAGCGAGCTCGTGGCAAATTAATTCCAGTTTTTTTTTTTTTTCTTTTTGCTGAAATAAAAAATGTGTCGAGCGGAAGTAATTACGCTGAACGTGGCTAAATACTTTGAATGGATTCACATTGTTATTTGCCACTTTTTTTTTATTATTATTATCAATGTGTGAAGCGAGAAAACTCTTTCATTGAAAAAAAAAAGAAAATTCCTTAAAAGGTCGGGATAATTTATAATTTAATAAGCAATTTTTTTTTTTGCAAATTTTTTATTATTATTTAATTATCGTATTAATGAAAAGTTAATTTTTCATGTAAATAATACACACGCTTTTAAATAAAATCTTTATGATTTCTAAATGATAGTTTTAATACACTAGTTAAAGATAAAGAGGTCAGGTTCATTCATAAAAATATGAGTAAAAAGTCTACGGGATGATTCATAAATATTTCAAATGATTTTAAAGAAAAATTTATTTCGAGTTGAAGATTCTTGTTTTTTTTTTTGTCGCAACTAAACATATGTGACCCACGTAAAAATTTCAAGGTTAGTTTACAAGTCTTAAAATGTGTTTTTTTGCACTAGGTTATTATTTTTCCTTCAAATAACTGAAATTTAAAATATAAACGCTCTTCTATTATTATTCTGTTTTGAATTATTCATTGACTTATTGAAAATCTTAATTTTTAATTATTATAATATAATTTTTTACGAAATTATTATTTACTATTATATTTATTGTAATTTCTTGTGAAATATATTTATATACACAAGATAAAAGGTGTATTACCAATTCGCAATCGCTTGTAAGTGGAACAACAGGAAAGTTGGTGTGAACAGAGGTTCTCGTTTCATTCCTTTATTGCGGGAAAAAAGCCCCCATTTTCGTTTTTTTTCTCCATTTTTGCTGTCTTATTTTCTTTTTAAAAAATTTTCTCATTACACAGAAAAAAACGCTAGATAAATTTTGTTGCAGCTAATATATTAATACAGAAAATTAATATAGGTATTGAAATAAGCTGCAACGCTTATTATTTTAATCCAATTTTGCTTATTTTAATACCAAAATGTATTAAAATAAGCAAAATTGGATTAAAATAATAAGCGTTGCAGTTTATTTTAATGCCTTTTTGTTTTCTGTGTAACCAATGCTAATTCACATAGACGGTGGCGCCCCCAACTAGGATAAAATTTGTTGCAGTTAATTTTTATACCGATTTTGGGATAAAAATTCTACTTTTTTTGTGTGTACACTGAAAAAAAATTCTAGTTAGAATAACCAGAATTCTAGTTAGAATAAACACACGGAGAAAAATGGAAAAACGAATAAAGTAACTTTTACTACTTTAAAAGTAAAATTGGACCTGTCCGAAGTTTCTGCGCATCTCTGGCAACTTTTACTCGAAAAATAGTAAAATTGACTATTTCTGTAGTAAATTTTACTGTTTCCGTAGTAATTTTTACTATTTCTGAAGTAAATTTTACTATTTTTGGAGTAAAAGTTGCCAAAGATGCGCAGAAACTTCGGACAGGTCCAATTTTACTTTTAAAGTAGTAAAAGTTACTTTTTCTTTTTTTCCGTGCAGAATTCTAAGTAGAATAACCAAAATTCTAGATAGAATAACCAGAATTCTAGTTAGAATAACCAGAATTCTAGTTAGAATAACCAGAATTCTGGTTAGGGTATATATTTAACATTTTGATTCTGGTTAGGTTAACCAGAATTCTGGTTATTTTAACGAGAATTCTAGTTAATTCAACTAGAATTCTGGTCAACATAACTAGAAAGTAATGTTAAATATAGCCTAACCAGAATTTTTTTTTAGGGTAATTACCGTTTCAAAAAGACGTATTATTTTGTAGTTGCCTTGAACAGAAGGTTTTTGAGAGAGATGACGTAACATTCCACACACTCGAAATGTGATATTTTTTTTTTTTTTGAAAGTACTTAAATTCAAAAGAAGCAAATAACATCCCTCTGTACATTGGCGAGAAGCTAAAACAACAGCCAAGATATTATGGCAATTGCGTCGCTGTGTGTTATTACACCGTAAAAACACAGTTGTTTGTGTCAGTATAAATACATATATATATATATAAATATACATGCGCATAAGTTTAACAGTCGCGTTTAACGTGCGTAAATCGTGGTGTGAAGTTCGTTCGCGAGAGACGAACCAACTCTTTTTTTAAAACTCCAAAGCAAAATGCCGAGGAGAAGGTTATATAAATTTTTTTTTCAAAGACTGCAAAAAAAAAAGGCACATGTTTTTCTAAGAACTATTCTTTTTGACCATTGTATTCAAATTTATGAGATCTTTAATAGGTTTTTGAGCTAAACCGAAGTCAAAAACAGAGTTTTTATAAAAATCTGTTTTCACTTTTTCTTATATGGGAAACATTTTATGTTTTTGTAAATATTTCGAAAAATTTTTGGGAATTATATAAATTTTCTACTTTGAAATTCTTCAAATACTTATATGGATATTGTGTATTAAAATTGTTTTAGAAAGTTATCCATTGTTCTGAAAATATAATGAATATATTGCTTTCATATTTAACGCAAAATACTCAATACTCATTG